TTAGTGACACACCTGACCAGAGTTGGATGGAGATCCTCACAGCAGACTCTGAATACAGTAAGCTTGAGCTTTGTGTTTGTCAGTTTGTGCTAAAGGTTTAATAGGGCAAGAACATTTTTAATATTATAGCCACCGTGGAACGTGTGTATGTGTCTTTATAATTTCTTGTAATTATGAGCTTTTGATCAAGAACCGTATTTGATCAAATATACATGAATATATTGAAAACAAATACAGTATTTATACTATACTATACTATATACCATATATTTTGATAAAAAGGTGTTTTAAAAACTGTTTACCCCATGTTCAGTGTAGTGACTGTGCTCACTAAACTGTCTGTGTGCTGAGGTAATAAGGAATTCCCTTCCTCTGTGTCCTGGGGTGGGAGGAGGGAGGTGGCCTGACAGAATGGTGGGAGGTAGAGAGTCACCAAAAGAAGGCGTCTCAGTGCTGCGCTGTCAACCTTGTGCAGCTGGGAGGGGAGAGGACACCCAAGGCTTACATAAGTCTATCTTTTAGTGTCAACATTTGTCTGTGATCACAACCCAATTCACTGTATTTATGTGTTTATCTTGATCTGTAGAAATTCAATGTGCACTAAGGAAAATTAGAGAAGATGCATTGGCAGCAGCAGACGCATGAGAGAGAAAGCACAACAGCAGAGCCCTCTTGAATAAAAAATCTGTTGCTATAAATAGCATGCCATCCTCACCGCCTCAGCACTGTTTCAGGTTTAGAGTTTTTCTCTCTCCCTCTGCTCAGATTCTTGGTGGTATTGCTCTAAAATGTGTATTTGATGTGTGCCTTTCAAAAGTAAGGATCCTACTAATTAAATGCTATCACGTTTTCTTAAGTATGGATTTGAAACTTCCATGACTAGTATTTTTCAGTGGTTGTAAGTTTCCATCAACCCTCAGACCACCACCAGTCTTTCAATGTGGCATTCATATGAGGTAATGTGGGTCAAGTGTCTTTAAGAGTCACAGCATTCCCAAGTGGAACCTGGCATGAACCCAAAAATGATATGCTGTCTGTTTTTGTATCTCAATACATCAATCTACATTTCATTATATACATTAAAAAAAGCTGGATTGCAACTGTGAGTTTGCCTCATTCTGCAAAACGTTTGAAATCTATCTGGATTATAAACTGTTATTTCCTTGCCTCTCAATTAACTCTCCATTTTTCACCATGGAGCTCCATGCTGAAATTAAGGTGGCATGCCACAACTCTAGTACTTTATGGAAAAATACAAAAAGTAATGCAATATCTTATACTAAAATAAGCTGAAAATTAAAGAATTTTCTAGTGCAACAAGGTTGCTACTTATCTCTATCTGAAAAATAGAGGACCACGTTCACTCAGCCAATCAGCTCTCAGCCAGAGAAAGAGTCAAATAGTGACTCTCATGGCTCTTTCTTTCTACTGCAAAAGAAAACATGTTCTCTAACAAGACAAAGACTACAAATTAACTAAAAGCAAAAAGACCGCATTACATTTGAAAAGGAATTTTATCTTTTCAATACTAAATATGAAGTATTGGCTCTGTCCACTCAGAGTAGAGATTTACTGGGACACCATTTATAAATCAAAGAGTTTGGTACCCCAGCTGTAAAACTGGCCGGTGAACCTTGAGAGGATTCTGTCTGAACCCGACCTGAACCCAGCATCGTAGAGCAATCCAACACTCAATCAGATCAAACATTGCATATCACCTGAGATGCATATAAGGCTATATCCACACGAAGACAAAACGCTTATAATTTCAGAAACTTTTTCTGTAAACACGGAGTTAGCTCAGTAAATGTGTGCGTCCATATGAATGTAGTCAATACGCCTGAAAACGCTGTGAAACTATGCCAGACCTGTTGGTGGCGCTGTGACGCAATGACGGGATCAAGCCCAAACTTCCGTGACGGGAACTGGGCATGCGCAGAATTTTGTAAACAGACAACATGGCGAGTGGGCAAGCTGGTACTACATTAGTAGTACCTATTACCTATTAGCCATTAGCTTCCATGGCATCTACACAATGAATGGATATATCGTGACAATTTTATATGCAATGGGCTCTATGCACGCACCATTTCCGCGATTTAGTTAAAACGACAGTTGAATTCCGGTGCGCGGGGATCGTCTTGAGTTTCACTGAAGTTCACCAGATGTTTACACGAGTATCCTAAATAATGCTCAAACAGGAATTGGATGCTGGGCATTTTTGTGACATGGCAGTGCTCTTTGATTGTTCTGTCTTTGTGCTTTTATAAAGTGAACTAATCTCTCTTATTGGCCACAGTCAAAGCTATACCTCAGTGAGAAAGCATGTCCACACTTTTGGGTCAGTCGCACAGATGAATATCAATCTAATAACTAAAAAACGTCACTACAACTCACCACAATGCCATAGCGCAAGCACAGACAGAAAGTAAACAAGCCGTTCTTTGTTTACAGGAAATTACGTTGCGCATCCCCGTGCATATAGCCCATACATAGAGGTTTTTTGGTAAAATGCTGGATGTCCAAACACTAAAATGCTACTCAGTTTTCATCTATATGTGTGAGTGAGTGAAATCCAGTTCAGCGTTTGTTTACAATTGTACTACGGTGGCCATTTCCAACAAGCACTTGCGGTGGCCTGCTAGCTCGACACATTTTCCCCCCGGTTCCCATGCTAATTGAAAATAAAGATACGGCATTTTAAAAATCAGTGCGTAAACTTTCCTCATCTGTCTTTCTTTTAAGCATCTGGAGCAGAAGGCCATAAGCCTTCAGGGGGCGCCTTTTAGCACACAAAAAATCCTTTAAATTGGACTCTTTGCTGTAAACAGAGGGATTCAATAGTTAGTATTGTGTACTTTTACATCACTGTACAAAAATGTTGTCTCTTTTTATCCTATATTGATTGATTGATTTAATATTAGGGTTTTTTATACTGGCTAGCATAAAACGAGTTTAATTTGTTAATCTGAGTCCTGCAAGTCATATTCAGGTAAATGATGTGGCTCTTTTAAGGCTGCAGATCTGACCAGTTTGCCACATTTGTAACATTGTATATTGTTGGAGTCAGGGTTGGGTTTTGACACTGTCTGAAAAAAAGTTAGTCTGGAGCCCTGAGTATGATGAAATGTGCTTATACATAATATACACTAATACCTTAGTTTAATGGTGGGAATTTCTTGCCATCACATAACTACTTTCAACACAATTGGCAATCTTTTTTCCGTCTGTTGTGAGGATTAGGCAGTGTGCTTCATGTTGGGTTCAGTTGTAAGACACTGCCGGCTTGTGTGTTTCTGAGCCTGCATCCTCTCTCATACACACCACAGCTTGTTTAATTGGGAAAGGGGCGAGGGTCGTGTGAAAGAAAAGAAGAGAGGAATCTGGGGGTGTAGAGCAATATAGCTTATTTTCTCTTGGTGACAGAGCCTGTTGCCATGGAGCTGGCCCTCCCATTGGTGGAGATCTGGGCCAATCATTTAACAGCGCAGATTGTTTCATCATTGAGAAGTTTTTGTCTCTTCCTGTCTCGCTTTCCACTCCTTGGTCCTCTCAATCTTTTTTTAAGATACATTTTATGCGGTGTGTCAGTTTATCATGGGTGCTCAAGCCTCCCAATGTCAGTCTGCCACACTTGCTCTGACTTTGGGACTTTTCCTTTCTCTGCTTCTACCACTACAGTGGACATGAATGAACTCTGTTGAATCGACTCAATTCATTATACTTCTTATCCAGTGTTGGGAGTAACTCAGATACTGAAAAAGTAAGATTATAGTAACCGATTACTCGTAACTAAGTGTAATGCATCATTTTGAAAACAACTTGTAATTAGAATAAAGTTACTATTAGATGACTTATTATATGTATTAGTTACTTGCATAAATATCTCACAGGTTAAACAGGCAACATGGAGCCTTTTAAATGTGGAAAATTCCACAGACAGTAATGCTGCATCATGAACCTCATTTGTTTCTCAATGTTCCCCATTACAGGATATATATATATTTTTTTTCTTTTAAAGTGTTGGCACTGAGGCGGTTCCATTTTCTCCTGCTCTAGCAACACACACAGGAGCACAAAAAGGTTTATACTACGTGAGCCTCTTGTGTGACTAGACTAGCTATGTTCTCTTTCTTGCAAATACCAAACCAATGACATGAGATGTGCCTTTTATGTTTCAAATGACACTACGTTCCCGATTTTTTCCAAACCAGTGAACCCGTTCTTAAATCAGTCACGGCGGTTCAAACGTCATTGCTGATGTCACCAAACCACGCTCCGAGCCACACTTCACTGTGAGGCTTCACTGATTGCTCGACACACGCTTCGAAGCCTTGCTTAATTTTCGCTCATCACAAGCTAGACTTATGGAGAACTTCACACAAAAAGCTATTAGCTTAAATTGTCGTTAGCATACCCATCATATCTTGGGTATTCCCCTATTTTCAGAGGTTTCTGAGTGACAGCGCCCTTCAAATCAGATATGCCACCCTGCGTTTTTACCTTTTTGTATCAATAGCGAGGTACTTGGGGGATCAGTGCTTTGTTTTTAAAGGCAACAAGGCGGAATTTGTGCTAAAATTAGGGCTGCGGGGTGGGCAATAACCTGTAATGGCCCGTTCTTGCAAGTTTTTTTTGGGTCAGTATGCATGCAGGAACAATGCATGCATACTGACCCAAAAATACCGTCTATCTAGTGGTATGGTTTGATTCTGGTTTGAATTGATATCAGTTTTAAAATATTACAAAAATATATGAAAAGCTTTCCAAACCAGGAAGACTTTGACGTGACCAGTCTCCTGGGTAATCATCTTTCACTTTATCTTTGTGTTTTATCTTTATCACTTTATCTTTCACATTTGTGGAGCTTCCGCTCTACCCCCACCCAACCTGTGACAACATAACCATGCAGAGGCTTAAAGCGACAGCATCAGATAGATGGAGAACTACAGAAAAGGTAGGTAGGTAGATCTCAGGAAAGGGAGGGAAGGAGGAAGCCTATGAGTCATAGCTCGTCCCACAGGACTGAGTGGGCTGGCGAAGTGGAGGAGGATGGCGTCAGCAGCAGGTCTGACAATTTAAGAAGACACATTAAAAAAAGAAGAAAAGAGGAACAAGTAGTGTTAGTGGGTGGATGTACAGAAAGGGGAGGGGTCAAGAAAAGAGAAGAAGGGGTATCCTTGCTGCTCTGAGATCTAGTGGATGTGGGCAGGGAGGAGGATAAAGACTTACATGGTGAAAAAAGAAACCCCGTCTTCCGCTTCTTTGCCTTCACTCATTTAGTTGTTCTCATTTGGATGTTTTCGATTGCTTGATATGTTTTACTAGTGTCCAACTGATGTAGAGGTGCTATTATTAGGGATGCACTGATGTCTATCGGCTCGCTATAAGTGCTTGGATTCAATTTTTTTTACATAGGCAAAATTGATACTTTTGTCAATTCTTGGGCACGAATGATTTTGCCAATACATTTGCAAATCAATGCCTTTAAAAGAAGATTATTGTAGTATATTGTAACAAACAATTGGCTATAGGCAAAGACTTGGGTTGCCTCTGCCGACTCTGCACGTCTATCCTTTTGCTGCTTGTGCATTTGTAAGTGTGTCATTCATTCATCTGCACTTTTCATTCAACTTTAGCAGAGAAAATGGTGAGGCAGGTCCGTGGCTTGCATGTTTCACCATTGTGAAAACTGAGTACAATGAGCTTTAGCCTTTTGACATGGGATGTTTGGACACCCGTAATTAAATATGAACACTGAAAAATGATGACAAATGATTTCAAGTCAAGAATTTTTTCAATGTTCAAGTCAGGGATGGACAACGTAGTTATTGAAATGTAGCCTGAGAATCACAATGCTGCTGTATATGCTCTAATCATTTGGAACTGCACAACAGCCTGGAAACTTGGACAAAACTTTTGCCTGGATTTGGGGACTAATTGCAGCATGGGGAGGACAATGATGACACACCATTGAATGGATGGAAGCTTGTGTTTTTTTAAACATATCCAACATGACTGCAGCAAACATGAAGCTATCTTCTCTCATGTTTAACCTGCACAAACGGCAGTAATCATTCAGCACCATTGTGTAAACATTTGTCTTTTTCCGCATTTTCCCTTCTCATCAAATTTATGTTGTGCATGTTATCTGGGTGAACTCTTAAGTTTGGCGCATACGTGCATGAAGACTCGTAAGAATGTCATTTGTTGCGCCCAAAAAATTGCTATGGACACTTGCAAACCACACCTCTTCTACAAGAAAATGAAATACTCATTAACTTATGATATTTAGTCACTTGTTAGCCAGGCTAATTGAAAAGTCGATGTAGCAATGATTATGCCAGGTAAACATCTAACCTGCTACTGCGTGACATACAGTTTGTCTTGTTAGTCAGACTGACCCGCCCTGCAGCTAAGTATTGCTTAGACCCTGACCCAGCATGACCTGGAGCGGCTAAATCTGACAGTGAGTTTATACCTGCACAACAGAGCCTAAGGGGGGTGTCTAAAACACTGAGGGGTTTCTTTCTCTCCCTGACCCAGCCACTGCTGTCTGACTGGCCTCTCTTCCCCTCAGTGTTGGGTGCTGAAACCTGACACACTGGGCAAGGCTGCATGTGGCTGCTGTGTCTCAGCTGGTGATCTGTCATCAAGAGATCTAAAAAATCTGAGATTCCTCTGTGTGAAGTGGGTCAGAGTAACCTGCTCTGAATTGAGACCACCTTGTCCAAATATTGTTTTTGTGTCGGCTGTTTCGCTTTTCCAACTTTCAATACTTAGCTTTGCATCTGTTATAGTTGACTAAGAATCCGCTACTCCACTTACCCACTGGTATCTCAGATCTGTAGAAGGTGACCCAGTCAAAGGAAATGCTTTCAATAAATGCAATACATCTTAAAACTGTGATTCTGGTCTCTCAATGGAAAGCCAGAAAATATACTTGTCTTGTTCATGAGTGAGTGAAGGAAGGAGCGTGAGATTGACAATCATTAATAATTGATCATTATCAATAAACAAATGAATCCTAGGTAATTGTTTATGCCTAGTGTATACTCACACTGCGCTGGTTGCGGTTGTGCTGAACCTACACAGCCACAGTTTCTGGTACACTCGCGCGTTCCACTTGCAGAGTTTTGAAGAGAATGTTGTAATCCCACACCCAACCACGTGATGGCGATCTCACAGGAGTTACGTGGAAAACCAAAGCGGTCCCATTTACGCTAGCTACTTTCTCCTCTTCAGAAAAAAAACATTAGCAGACCAATCTGTTTGAGATAATTTCATGTGTATCTTGTGTAGGTTTATGTGATAATTCTATGGACTCCTTATTTCATAAGTCATTTCAACTGTGATGTTGTGAATAAAGGCACAGTTCTTGTTGGAAACATAGTAATTATGAAATTGTATTCAGAATGTAAAAGACGCGATAAACTACAAGTGCAGATTCAAACAAAGACAGGAACAAGAACAGTGCAAAAGAAACGCCTGTACTGTTTATATATATGCAACAGAACTGAACAGTCCACATTCTCCGCGTCCTATTCAAATGGGGGAGTCAAAGCTCAATTAAGTCTTATTACTGAGAATGGGCACCCATGGCATGGTATACCTCATTTTGAATATTTTTCTCTCAGAGCCAAATAAATTATGTGGTTGTTTAATCTAAGGATTAAACGTAAAAGGCTATAGGTAATTGGGTAACCATTTAACAATACCTTGTCTTTTTCTTCAGTTCTGTTTATATCCAAGCACACTGAGTGTGTATTCCAAAACTGTATTCATTAAAAGTCATTATTTGTTATTATACCACAATAATGTGAAAAAATAACTACAAAAAAATAACCAAATATACACTAGATGAGCCATAAACAAACCTATGGATGGGACATATCATGATACATCGTTGGGGGTTGAATGAGAGAAATATCAATAATTTCAGTATTGTCAAATTATTGTATCATCAGCCATGTTTCACATATAATTCTGTATCGTGAGGGACACAGAGATTCCCAGCCCAATTCAAAACTAACAGACTAAAGAAACTCATTATAAAACATACACCTATAATCTTTTTCAGATTCCTATCAATTGTTAGCATTTTCCTATGTTTGGATAAGATATTTCAGTTAAATGTTTTATGTAGGAGTCAAAGACTATAATATTTGAGAAGTGAAATAAGGTTTATTTCAATTACAGAAACTTTGCAAGAATCATTCAAACCAAATAAATCTCCACTCCACAAAAGACATATAAACTCAATATTTTGCACAACTAACAGCCTCTCAACGCTTTCTATAACTTCCAATTTGAGTTTGGATTTTGTTGGAAGGTATTTTGGACTATTCTTCTTTGCAGATCATCTCTCCTTCAGTCAGGTTTTAAGGGTTCCGAGCACGGATAGCCCGTTTTAAATCATGCCCCACATTTTCAGTATTATTCAGGTCTGGGGACTGCGAAGACCACTCCAAAAGGTTGTGCTTGTTCCTCTGCATGAATGACTGAGTAGATTTTGAGCAGCATTGTCTTGTTGAAAGATCCAGCTCCTGCCCAACTTCCACTTTGTCACTGATTTCTGGATATTGTTCTCCAGAATCTGCTTATATTGAGTAGAATTTATGCATCCCTCAACTTTAATAAAATTCGCACAGCTCCACATCAGGATGGAACTATCACAAAATTTGACAGTATTTTTCTTCGAATGCGGTGTTATTTTTACTCCGTGCGTAACGCCTCTTGTTTTGTCCAAATAACTCTAATCTTATTATTCTTCTACTTTGAAACGCTACCCTCAAGTTATTTTTACCTGCTCATGGGTTAACTATAACTGTTAACTATAACTGTGCCTGTGGTCGACCAATTTCTCACAATGTTTCTCACAGTTGAAACTGAAAGTTGAGGGTTTTTTTGAGGCTCACATGTTTATGTAAAAAGGTGAGACACTTTGTCATGACTAGACTCACCTGTGTATGGAGGCCAAATGTGATGACGTCACATATAGCAGACTCTCCTTCTACAAGCTTCCCAATGACGTTAATTATGAGACACATACAACTATTTAGCAGCATTTATATATTGTTCTGTGCATTCACCGGTAGGAGTGTGATTTTTTTATTTTTTATTTTATTTTATTAGTATCAATTCTTAATATATGACTACATTACGCATCTCCATTCCATTTATCATGAAATAGTGTATTTTTTCACTTAACATTTTTATTTTATTTATGCCATATATTGGCATATGGTATATTTCTGACCAATACATCGATAATCGTCATATTGTGATATAATCGTTATCGTGAGCTTTGTATCGCGTATCGTATTGTGAGGTACCGTGAGGTTCCCACCCCATTCAGCGGGTTCTGAACTGTCCTACAGTACTAGTATGACGTATTTATCTCACCTTCATGGGAACCTGATATTAAGGCGCATCATCAATGATCGTGTTTTTATAAACAATGAGCATTGAACCAAGGCAGAATGCTGTTTCAAATGTCATTGTCCTTGTCATTCTTGACCTGTTTTGAAGTGTAACACATCAACTAGATAATCAAGTAAATCAGACATTATCAATGGATTTATCGGTATAAACTCGTGCAATAACTATAACTATTTTTCAGTTTTAACATTCATCAGCTGTTTCCATAAACAAAACGGGCAGTTGTCACACATTATACATCAATTGAAGTATTGAACTTAAATGACACACAGCATTTTAAAGTTGTAAACAAAAGTCAGTTATGAAGATATAGCAAGGCCTTTAAACACAGCCAGAAATTGATACACAGGGTGCACTGGTAAAATTGAAAGGCTTTTATGAGAGACAAATAATTGAGAGAATATGGTAAATGTTTGATCTGAAACTTATTTGTTTGAATTTGTACCTGAAATGAGCGTGCTGCTATTTGCATGTCCTGCTCTGTCATCCATCGTTTCTTTACACTCTTGCATACTTTTCATTAGCATCAATCCTCCTGTCTTTCCTTCTTGATTACTGCTCAACACAAATGGCAGCAGTTTCAAGTGACGTTACCATTTCCTTGGCAACCCTCCGGATCACTTCAGAGAAGAGCGGGTGTTCTGGAGGGTGGAGAGAACTCAAAACTAAAAGGAGGCAGGATAAACACAGTTGAGTGTATTTTTTGCTCAATGTATCAAATATTTGTCAGCTATTGATTATTCATCCCATTCACTCTGCTTTGACAAACTGTACATGTTCCCAGGAACTACACATTTAGAATAGAAAAGAGTGCTGAGGGAAGATGAATCAAAGTCAGGCCTTTTGCATTGCTGATCCAAACAAAACCAGTTTTAGCGCTGCTGCTGCTGCTGGTGTTGTATAAGCTGAGCGCAGTTGGGTGGGGGCCCGTGGGTGTCCTGTTTAGTGATGTAGCATAATGCTACTGCAGCTGATGACGTTACTTATGCCTTACTCGTGTCTCCCCTCAAATGGGAATCCCTGCCACCTTCTTTGGTGCACTCCTCAGCCGTGCTCTAAAACATTGTACATAGTAATCAACATGTACATGTCACACAACATTGTTAACATATCTGCCATGTTTCTTTGTCAAGATGGTTTCTGGATGGTGGTGTTTGTTTGATGATAAAATTACTTTGCTCATAGACGAATAGTGTTTATCTAAAAATAACCAAGTAAAACATCAACCGTTCTTGCAATGCAATCTCAAGGTCATATTGTTGTATTCCTATTTTTACTTGTCAATAATTCACAGATCCCCTCTTTTAGAAATAATGTTCCATTGTATTTCAATATATGAGAAGTAGTCTAATTCATATAACCCTTGTGTTCCAGTCAATGTTAGGTTCTCAGCTCCTGTGTCCCCTCCTCCTTCCAAGCAGCAGCAGCAGCAGCAGCAGCAGCGATGAGTCACTGGTTGTGTGAAAACTGACGTCATCCGTGTCTCCTCTGTTCCAGAGCTTCCAGCTAAACACAGACCATGCGGCTGCTCTGAGTTGGAGGCTGTGCTTGGAGCCGTTTAACCCCCCCCCCCCCCCCCCCCTTCCCGTCCAACTGACTACAGTAAATATTGTACATGTTTTCTTGTTTGTGGGATTTTTGGAGTTAGGGTTATATCTGTATTTTTTTTTATAGATAATTGTATTAAAAAAAAAAAGTTTTGTTTTGTAAATGCAATTTTTTTATGTAAACAATTACAGTATGCAGAATATAGTACAGTATAAGTATTCTATCAATATGAATATTTTTTCACACTATATTTGATGTACTGTCTACAGACGCCGTGGGTTTGGGCCTGCTATGGCCAGTGCTCCACCCTGTGCTGCAGCTGACCCCTGTACAGTGCCGTAGTATCGTCCCTCTTCCTCTGGCTCGTGGTTCCCATAAAGAGTCACATCACCAAGGATCCTGGTCTGATACCACCCACAGGTATGTGAAGGACATTCATGATCCTTAATGCACTTATTTGCATAACAATGTCTTATATTAATACTGGCAGTGTTAATAAGACAGTGTTTTTTCATCAACCAGTCAATTAGTAAATGAGGCAAGGCAAGGCAAGTTTATTTGTATAGCACAATGTGTACACCAGGCACCTCAAAGTTTTTAACAAAACAAGATAGAAACAATCGCACAATTTCTAGATCATCTAATAATAATTTTCATTAAATATTTCTAATTTTTTAATTGACAGACATCTAAATCACTAGGACATGAACACACAGAGAACTCACACTATCACATGCTAAATGTGCAGGGAAATGGTACAAAATGCAAATCATGACCCCTGTGATCAGCCTGAGTGTCACCGCGACTCTCCTGCTGCTGTCTCCCCTGCCCTCTCTCTCGTCTCCCCTATTCTCTCTCTCGTCTAACAAACACAAGACAAAGGCTTAACCAACACGTTACTATCCCGGTGATGGTGGGGAGGCACGGTAATACTTCTATGGGAGGCACTATTAGCGGAGACTATAGTGGAGGCTGGAAGTCGCTGCCCCAACGCGACTTCCAGGCTTGTTCTCTGCAAATCTAACCTGTCTCCGAAACTCCCAATGACAGCACTGACCCAGAGAAACACTGTTCCCACCTCTTCCCACTGCTGACTCTGTGCAAAGTGTTTAAAATTTGTGTTACGTGCGATACAACACTTGCACGCTGCCCTCGCAGCTGCACTTGCTTCGCTATGGTTTCCGCACTGGTTCAACACGGTCCTGCTCGAAGATTTTGTATGGGAGCATGACGTTTTTTTGTGGCCAGGGAGGTAGTCTGACATGTCTGCCAACTAGTGGCAAGGAGTATGAATGAATTTTGACACTGTTTGACACACTAACACCCGTTTTAAACAGTCTCAACTTAAGTCGACCGTGGCGCCTAGAGGGTTAAACTAAATAAATTGCAACCATTTATACTTGCTATTTTTTGTTAAATCTTGCAGCCACTCCTGGGGCCCCCGCCCAACCCCCTCCCCATTTCCCACCCTCTCCCCCTCCCCTAAGAAGATGTCAGTGACCCTGACAGACATTCAGCAGGAGGGAGAGAGCGGGCCACTCATTGAGCCCTGTAGTCGAGGCAAGGTCTCCCCTCAACCACAGGGCCCCAAAGACCTGACCGGAGAGATCCAGGAGCCTGAGGACACCGCTCCCCAGGATGCACTGGTAAGCATTGTATAGTGGTGGGAACCCATTTGGCATAAGTTCAAACCGTGTGCTGATCACTGCTCTGAACTTGCGGTTCCCCTTTTCCACACCTCAGCCATAATCACACACTGTTCATAGACGTGAAGTTTCCACTGGCTCATTACAGTGAGGATTGGCATCTGAAAGTTTCTTCATTGTCTTCATTGAACTGTAACTGCCATATTTTCCAGCTATAATTTTGGCAACTTTACACGGTATGTTATGTTGAGCTAGCCTGGTCATACCAAACCATAGTACAAATTACATTTCGTACTAAGGTCTGGAGGTGCTCCATTGAGCTCCGTTAACAGGTGGGAGGGGCAAAGTCCTTTTGCAGATTGAAACGATTGGATCGGAGTTTACCGTCACGTATGTAATGCGCCTGGGTGAGTCGTTAGCTGTTAGCATTTAGCCCAGCCATATCCTTTGCCGCAAACGGAGCCCGTGGGGAGTAGCGCCAAAATCTTTGCCAGCAATTACATTTGCTAAACATTCCTCTTGCTCCGGCTTCAGTTTCTTGATAGAACGAGACCTGAATACTTTACTATCGCATTCTTTGCCATTGCCAAACTACAACCTGCCCATTCGGCGCAAACTTTTGACGTCACCCACAACTAACTACAACACCCGCCTCCCGTGCTCGCTGATTGGTCGGATGGAATTCAACCCATGTAATTTCAAACACAGGAACCAGACCCAGACGTTACATGCAGGGAAATGATGATTAAGTGGATTGTTCGGATTGAGCTGAAGTTCCATGCTTTTTCCTTCCTTTTTAATAGTTTCTTTCAGTGTGTTTATCTCTGTTTATACATTTATGTAAATACATCCAATGCAAATGAATCCAAAAGTAGCACATGTGGGCAACAGCTGTGCATGGAACTCATGCCAAGATCTTAATGTACTGTAATTTGAATCTACAGTATAATGTATTATAACAAAAACATTGCCAAAAGAATGTGTTAAAAATGAAATGCATTTATAGCTTATTTGTTGGACATGAAAGGTCAGGTGCTTTTCATTACAAGCTATGTAATAATAATAATAATAAATTTTATTTATAATGCACTTTACATTTCAGGGAAACCTCAGAGTGCTACAAAAACAGGGAACATCCCCAAGATACACAACATAAAAACAATACATCAAATATAACATCAGGAAAAAATAAAATAAAATAAAACATAATTACTGTACATATCTAGAAGGCCTGTTTGAATAGGAATGTCTTTAGGCCTTTCTTAAAAGCCTCCACACTTTGTGGGGCCCTGAGGGTTTCTGGGAGGGCATTCCAGAGCCGGGGGGCTACTGCCTGAAAGGCCCTATCTCCCATGGTGGAGAGTTTGGTCCTGGGTTGGTGCAGGCAGTGGGAGGAGGTGGTTGAACGGTGGTTGTAAATGTGTGATTTAGTCAGCCCTTACACTGTTTGTACAATTGCCTCCTCTACGTTTTTTTGACTGGTCAAAACTTCCTTCAGGAACTTGTAAAAGTTTACGGTCTACCTTCTTTAAGAACCCTTGCTTTGACCTATTGCTTTTAGAAGCAACAGTACAAGATAATTGCATTTCCAAAAAGCCCCTTCTACATCATGACATCTATCCTTTTTCCTCTTAAAAGCGTGTGGTCCTGGCTGGTCAAGCAATAAGTTTAATGTATGGTCATTGTACCATGACCACTTTGGGACCGTTAGTATATGATTTTCCCTTGTCCCTTTCAGAAACGGGCTCCAAACCACAGCCATGGAAGGAAAAGGGCCAAAGTAAGTGTTTTTGACTAAACTTCTCAAACAGTTTCCTTTGTGCACTGTTACCTCAGTGAATTATTATTGTTTTAATTTTTTTTTCAAATAATATTTTGTTTTGCTCTTTAAAAGTAATGGAATCACTTAAGACTTTTATGGTCACATTTTACGTACACCAAAGTTACATGTTTATGAACTTTGTTCCAGTCTAATGCCAAAGTGAAACTGGTACGAAGCCTTGCAGTCTGTGAGGAATCCTCTGGTCCGTTCTCTGATGGACCTCCAGAATCGGTAATTTTCTATTTGATGATTTTAAATTACATTTGCACTTTTTCAAACCATTTGTATTTTCTAATTGTATTTTATGTATGTATATTTTAGGATATCATTCAGTTGCACATCAGCTGTCCTTCAGACAAAGAGGAAGAAAAGTCATCAAAGGATGAATTTGAAAATGAAGAAAAGGAGAAGAAGGATAAAGCTCCTCGGAAGATGTTATCACGTGGTACATAATTGATTAAATATTTTCAACATGAATACATCACCCAAGAACTGGGTTTGTTCACATGGTCTCATTATGCTTCTGCTGTTCAGGCTTATGTTAGCGGGATAAGCGGGTCAAGCATATTTGTAATCGAAAAGGGGGACCATACCTCCTTAAGTTATGATCCTTCATTGCAATGTAGTAATAATCATAATCATAATAATGCTTTGGTTTTTATATAGCGTGTTTCTGGACACTCAGATACTTTGAGACACCTCTGACGGTCACTAATCATTCATGTACATTGACAGACATATTCCTTAGTTGGGCGGCTCAACACTCAACAGCCACAGCCACTCCACTGTGTGGTAGCACAGATTTTCACTTACGGGACCCTAGTGTTCAGTACGAGTTGCCTGTTGGTGATGAAAATATCCACGTTTTAACTGCTGTGTGCTTGAAATTTTTTTCTAATTTCTTCGTTCGCTTTGAGTTGTTGTTGTACCAATGTGTCCTCATCCCTGCTCATTCCTTTGTGCAGAAGAGACTGATGTGATCCAACACAGAATAAAACATTAGAATGCATGTACAGTACTGAGCCGTAGATAGTCTGAAGCAGCACCAGGCTCTGAATGCACGTCTTTGCTAGGTCAAAGTTATTGTCTTTATTAAAACTAAACCTTGGTTTATTGCTTCAACACTATAAACCAGCTTCGTAGTACGGGGCTCAAGTATTGAGCCAATACTCAATACTGCTATTGGTCATAGGAGTAGCATAAATCAAATGGTTGTGGAAAATGATCCCTGAAGAGAGTGTGTGGGAGAGGCAGAGAGGGATGGACCACTCTGTGATCTGCTCCTTTTATGTTGATCCTCCATGAACAACCTGGATCATGCTGCTTCTGTGATGGGTGCTATTTTTGTAGCTGGAGCTGCAATACTGTGTTTTTTCCCCTGGATTTCTTTCTATAAAACTGTATTCTTATTCAATTTTCAGATTCCAGTCAGGAATACACCGACTCCACAGGCATTGATGTTCATGAGTTTCTGGTCAACACACTGAAAAACAATCCCAGGTATCATTAATTAGATTTACATTTATAAAATAACTTTTTTTCCTTAATGACACAGTTGTTGTTATTTACTGTAGTAAGTTATCTTTTTTAATAGGTGTCTGAACCGCCCTCTTGTTTTTTTTACCCTCACAGGGATCGAATGATGCTGCTCAAGTTAGAACAAGATATCCTGGAGTTTATTAATGACGACAAGTAAGAATATTCTTCATACCAATCCTTGTGCTTAAGTTTTGCACAACCACAGGTCTGAAATTCTGTAAATATTCCTTCTAGTAGTGAATAACGTTCGAGTGCACAATCATCACAGAAGTTACTTGTAACTTAGGGTTTGTTCCCACTTCAGTCCCATAGTGAACCATAGTTCACTTTAAGGGGCGTTCACACGCACCCATTGTTCACATGTAAACGGAATTCGCTTCTGAAAACGTTGAATTTTTAGGCCCCGTCTAGATGGAGGCGCTGCGCAGACGTTGCAAAGCGATTAACAGAAACGACCAGGCTCCTTATTCAAATTTCACAGTGTTCATAAAAGGAGTAGAATTCTCCTCCGTGTAGCGCTCAAAGTACACGTAGCTAGTTTGTGCACCCGCCGCCATTGTTGTTTACGTTTGTTCTCGGCTACTGCGCATGTCCAAATGAACATGCGGGGAAGTGGGGTCTCACGTGGGTGTGAAAGAGCGACCCGCTGAACAGCGTATCTGAGCTGTCCCACTCTGTAGGCTGGGGCTCAACGCTTGCGTATTCGCCTCCCTGAAACACAGTCTCCATGTGAACGGGAGGTGGCGACATCCATCTATAGTGTTTTACTGCCGCAGTGTCTCCGTCTAAACGGGGCCTAAGAACGCACCAGGGTTTACTGTTGCTATGGTGATCAAATCCTCTCCTTTTTGTACTTGCTGTGATAAATAATAGGCCTTGTGCTAGTTTATCTGAGCCTACAGCTCAGCAGACCCAAACTGTTTTTCTTGTGGGTCTTGACTAAATGGCATACAAGTAGGCCTAAGATATTCTATATCCTCATTTGTGTTGCCATAATACATATATAACTAGTGCAATGTAATTGGCCATTTCACATTATTTATAATCAGCTGTGACTATGTGCGTCGGGCCTGCGGATGTATGTTTAATTCAAGTTCTTCTTTGTTTTTGTGTATTTACACCACTGCTCTATTTTACGTAGCGTTTATTATTTCGATATTAGCCATGTATTACGACTATATCCCAGAACAAAGGATATCATGTCATTGTGATTTTATGTCAATTGATTGATTGCTTTTATTTCGTTTTGTTACCTCTGTTTTTTTTTTTTTTTAAATAGTAACCAGTACAAGAAGTTTCCTCAGATGACTTCATATCACCGCATGTTGCTGCACCGAGTGGCTGCTTATTTTGGTATGGATCATAATGTGGATCAAACAGGAAAAGCCGTCATCATCAATAAGACCAGCAACACAAGAATGTAAGTTGGGAACTTCAGTACAAGCAACTTTTCTTAATTTGCGCATTCTATGTACAAATTAACATTGTTAGTAGTTTGGTTCCTCATAATGAATGCAATGAATATTTGTAAAATAATGCCGTACTTTGACCCTGATCTGTGACCATGCACCAACATCCTTGGAGACAACCATTTGTCTCTAAAATATGTACAATAGGCTCCTCCACTCGGTGCAGAACTCCCATCAATAAGAGATTCTGAAATCTCAGCAGTACCACCTTGGTTAAATGCATGTCAATAAATAAGTACCATCAGAAATTGGTGCCATCTACCACAAATACCAACAACAAAAAAGGTGTTCCTTTTCTTCTAACCTAGATTTCTTTTGTATTGTAAAAGTGTTTTTTTCCCTACAGCCCTGAACAGAGATTTTCTGAACACATAAAGGATGAACGCAATATGGATTTCCAAAAAAAATTTATTCTTAAAAGAGACGATGCCAGCATGGACAAAGATGATAATCAGGTTGGTGGTGGTTATTGTAGTGTTCAGTTCCTAGTTTTAGTTTGATGAAGCATAATTTCTCCCAAAGCAGCAAACATAAATCTGACTGTACAAAGTAGAGATTTTGAAAACATTCACAAAGAATCCCATAGAAATCCAGTGAAAGCACTGGAACTACTGCCAAGCCAGCCAATACTTTATTCACAGCTGGAGTTTTTTATTAAACATTATATCAATGTATATTTTAATGGACACAATGAATAACTCCAAAATACGTCAGAACTCCTTGTTGAACAACCACATAGTATTCTCACCCCCTAGTGGAAATGATGTGTAATAACACTGCACAAAGTACCTACCAGCAACCTACTGATGCACTTGTATACCTTTATGGTTAGTCTGATCTCCTTCTGATTTTTCATTTCTGTTCTTATTCAACCTGTTTGGGTGGAAACAGGTGGACAAAAGATTTCGTGCACTTGCAAAAAAATTGAAAATTTGATCTATTTTTATAATTAGATTCGCGTGCCACTGCAGGACGGGCGGCGAAGCAAATCTATTGAGGAGAGAGAAGAGGAGTATCAGCGGGTACGAGACCGGATCTTTGCCCGAGAAGTAAGTTTTTTGCCATGGCAACCATGTAGCTGTTAACAGTGTATTTACTTGACAATAGATACAAATATACTGAATATACACAAAATACTTTTTCTCGCCAAATAAGATACAAGATACTCAACACAAATGAAAAGTTGGTTGCCAAAGTACAAGAAATGTCAACAATTAATTTAATAATATGCAGGTTTCCTTCTTTTTGCAGTCTTCTCAAAATGGATACATAAATGACAACAGGTAAGATGATAACTTCATAAATGTGTGTGACTTACACTTTAGTAGATGGGTTCAGACACATCACAACATATCCCAAAATGTCATACTAGTATTTTCCAATTTTAGAATTATTCAATATATGACTTCTCTTGCACTAACACTGAAGATTAGGATTTAATGCTTCCAGATCGTCAAAGGAGCCTGGGATATCTCTGCAGACTAACTATATCCCATTTGTGCCCTTATTATTATTACAATGTGCACTTCTCTACATCCCTTTGTGATATCACCAATCCATTTCCTGTTCTCCAATACAAAACAATAACACTAGCCTTGTTTTTGAATGTTAACCCAACAGACTCTCCACAGAGGGCTACTGCTCTAGCTCTCAAAAGAGGAGGCAGATCTTTAGGTACTTGGGCACTGCTGCTAACATGTGTGTTGCCATGCCCATACTGAAGTGATTTGGTGGTGGTAGTGGTGATTTGTGATAATATTATTCTGCTTGGCGTAGTTGGCTGATGGACTGCTCTTCCAGCACTGCACCGTGGGGCTCCTCATGGCCCATGCATGTCTGCTTTGTGGTTTCAGAGAACTTAACTTATTTACCTTTTCCACTCATCCACTGTCAACATTTTCAATGAAGTAGCTGCATTGTTTCTGCTATTCTGTCTGTTTTGGTGTTGAACTGCAGTTTATGTTAGCATGTCACTTTGTTCCTCGTTACTTACTGTAGAGTGTATCTATTATATATAATTCTGAAATATGTTTCATACAATAATTTACATACTTTGCACTTTTTCAAGCTTTTTTATTCATGTTTTATACCATATGTTTATAATTAGAATTCTAAGTAATATGAAGTCACAAATAGGAATTTGCTTTTGCTTATGGTGCAAACAAGTTATAAAAGTCAAAATGGATATAAAGACATGCATTAAAAAAATATCATAACATTTCTACTATATACAAGTACACAGACCGCTGCCCCTGACCAGTGACCCTGACAGGCTTCTCTAGTGGTATTGCAGGAGGAGGACATATTTCCCTACGGGGAAAAATCCTTTGTTTACAATACGAATTACTGTTTTGTCAGTAATGATGCACCTTTCTAATCTTAAAAGGACATTTCCATTACAGTAATGTAGAATGTACCACCTAAAGCCTTGCTAAAAAAGAATCTTCCAAATGTTCTTGAAGACCTACTTTCTTCTATGTCCATGTTCAAAACAGGACTTCTACTACTTTTCATTTCCACCTATAATTCTGAACAATGCTGGGTAATAGCAGGGGCAGAAGACTGGCTCAAAATAATCACAGTACATAAAATGAGCACCTCCATGTGTCTTTCTGAGGCTGGGCACGTGAGGAGCATGAGTGTTGTCAGGAGCGACTGGAAAAGGAGGACCATGTGACCAGCAGTGGGGAGGAGGGACTGCTGCTGAAGCCGCTCTCATCTCTCGTCTGCACTCCGAGCAAACAAGTGTGAACCAACAGCAAACGCACCCACCTCTTCCTCGAAATAGGCTTTGCGCAAAAATGAGGACTGAAAATAGATACTCCCTTAATTACGGTCTCTATGATATAATTATCAGCCAAAGCCACCTTCAAAGACCACCTCTTCTACGACTCGACATCGCTCAATAAGATCCTCGATTCTCATCCATCAAATGCATAGTGATGTGGATGAATTTTTGACCTTTGTTTTTATGTCCCCTTTTTGAAATGGGAGTTTGCAAATGGCAATTCTTTGCTGTTCAACAAATTTATTTTTTTATTGCATTTCTAACATTCTTATTATTGGGAATGAGGTGGTTACTTGGTTCGTTTGGCAGTTATCCTTTTGGGGTGTACCACAACACGCCACAAACCCAACCAGTGTGTACACAGGCACTTAGTTTTTGTGGCCATATCTGCATGTTAAATCCAGATCCCATCAGGCCTCTGAAGCTAAGCAGGGCTGGGTCTGGTTAGTTCTGAGATGGGAGACTTCTGGGAACACCAGGTGCCACAGTGGGGCGGCTGCTGCTGTGAAGTGCCAAGCTTTTGTTCTGTCCTTAGGCAAGACACTTCGACCACATTGTCGAGAATGAGTCTGGTGTGTGTGAATGGTTGGTGGCACATACTGGTTGCCTTGCTTCTGTCAGTGTGTCCCAGGGCAGCTGTGGCTACAATAGTAGTTTATCACCACCATGTTTGGAGTGAATTAATAATGACATGTGAAGTGTCTTTGAGTGTCCTTAAAAGCGCTATATAAAACCAATGCATTATTATTATTGCTATTATTAATTTATAATGTTAGTCTTTAACATCTGACTGTAAAAGCATGTTTTGTATTTAAATGTAAAAGCTTTGTGTGGATGTTGTCTCCATTGTTGTCACTGTATAATTGAGCTCTTCACTGCCATGCATTCTGTAGCATCTCCTCTCGCATGTGTCGTTCGTGTCTCGTGTGTGTGTCTCTGTTTCTGTGTGTGATTTTTGCCTGATTTTGTACACGTTTTTCTGTGCGTCCGTGTCGAATGCCCCAGTTTACGTAATTCTGTCCCATGTAAACGTTCCCTTTCCTCGCATTCAACTCTGTTCTGTGTTCATAATTCACCTTGTGTTCTTTTATCATCCCCTCACACCCTTGCTACGTATCCAACACGTCTGTAATTTCACAATGACTCAAACTACTTCCTTTCCTCTTGTACCCCACTTAAATTGTTGGTGTTCTTTATCCGTATCTTTTGTCGTGCAGGGGAAACCGGGAGAGCTCGAGTCGGGCCTCCAGCAGTCGTCAGAGCAGCACAGACAGCGACATGAAGTGCCTGGAGCCGCGGCCGTGGAGCAGCACCGACTCGGACAGCTCAAACCGCACGCTCCGGCCGCCCGTCACCAAAGCCAGCAGCTTCTCGGGCATCTCTATCCTGACCAGAGGGGACAGTCTGGGGAGTAACAAGAGCTCTCAAGGCAGCTGTAAAGGCTCCAGATCTGGTGAGTCCAATACTGTAAACATTATAGTATTGTTATAATATTCATTATTATGATATGCATATGATATTCATTATTATGCATTCAATAAGCATAGATTCAAAGGATCTATGTTTTCATATTCTTTAGAAGTTATAATCACAAATACCACAATGAGGGTTGTCCATAACTAGACAAACATTTGGGCATAAGTATAGATGATGAATAAAGTGACACAAGTAAGATTTTTGACATTTCTTTTGCATTTTTTATAAAGGAATGCATATTTAGCTATATATGAAGAACTTGTGTAACATCTTTTGGCTTTGTGTTAAAAATGCTGATTAATTGTCCAAAAAGTGCTTTTACACGTATGGTATTTTTTCCTAGTTTTACTGAACTGAACTAACTGAAATTTAGAAGTGGCTCGGTAAATTTGTCTGTATAGCACATTTTGCACAAGTAGGCAAGGCAAGGCAAGGCAAGTTTATTTGTATAGCACAATTCATACACAAGGCAACTCAAAGTGCTGAACAAGATAGCATTAAAATCATAAATAATCACAAAACATTAAAACGAAAGATAAAAATATAAAATCCCTCAGTTGTATGCACAGCTAAACAGAACCGTTTTTAACTTGGTTTTAAACATTGTCAGAGAGGAGGCCTGTCTCACATCTTCAGGAAGATTGTTCCAGATTTTAGCAGCATGAATCTGAAAAGCAGCCTCCCCATGTTTAGTTCTGACTCTAGACACTAACAGGAGTCCAGTCCCTGTGCTGCTCAGAGTCCGGGCTGGTTCATATGGGACTAACATGTCACTAATATATTTTGGTGCGAGGCCATGGAGAGACTTGTAACAAGCAGAGCTGTTTTAAAGTCTATTCTCTGAGCCACAGGAAGCCAGTGCAGGGACCTGAGGACTGGACTAATGTGGTCGTACTTCCTGGTTCTAGTCAGGACTCGAGCTGCTGCATTTTGAATGTACTGCAGCTGTTTTACAGCCTGTTTGGACAGACCTGTGAGCAGGCCATTGCAGTAGTCTAACCCAGTGTTTTTCAACCACTGTGCCGCGGCACACTAGTGTGCCGTATGATATTGTCTGGTGTGCCGTGAGAAATTCGTCTACTTTGTCTAAAAATAACTGCATTCGCTGTTGACGAGCGGTGACTTGTTTTGAACTGTGGAGTAACCATGTAATACTTTTTCAAATCAGTAGATGGCAGCAGATAGCTAAGTACTTTGAAACTGAAAAATTGGATGCGACCACTGGCTACAGGTCAGCATTTTGGCGAGAAAGGTAAAATTGGATGCGACCAACAAATGTGTGAGGGAGCGAGACAAGAGCTTTGTGGCGAGTGAGAAGTGAAAGTGATAGAGACGTTTTTGAAAATGAATTATCCCGTTTCTGAACAGGATTAACATCCTCCGCTCTGCCCCGGGGCAGCTGTGGCCGCGTTGTAGTGGTTTAACTATGAAATGTAAAATTTTTGTACAACAGCTCTCGCGAACGCACTTCTGAACTGGGTACCGAGCACAGACCATAGTCGAGTGGACAGAACCACAGACATGCGGACCGGACAGAACCATGGACTCGCGTTCAGGACCTCCCGTGTCCCTCATCCAAAACTCCTGAATTTAAAGCTCGGATACCTAAATTTTTCCCATGCACTAACAATGCATGTTCTTTGTGTGAGTTATTATTTGACTATTTGGGCAGAGAGTGGATTTTCTTAGTTTTTTTCCACACAGTTAGTGCCACTTTATTACCAAACTCTTGTTAATTGTATCGAGAAATGTTAAATAAAGCTTAATGTCAAGGCCTGGACTTAAGCATTTTGATGAGAATAACTGTATATTGTGAATATAGGCTACAGAGTATACTGTATACATTATAAGATAAGATAAGATATACTTTATATATCACACAGAGTATGTACAGTATATATTTTTACATTAGTACTGTATACATTTTTACATTTTCTCCTGGAGGTGTGCCGCAAGATTTTTTCAGTGAAAAAAGTGTGCCTTGGCTCAAAAAAGGTTGAAAAACACTGGTCTAACCTACTGGAGACAAATCCATGGATAAGAATCTCCAAGTCTGCTTTAGACACTATGTTTTTGATCCTGACAATGTTTTTTAGATGGTAAAAAGCTGCTGATGTTACTGATTTGATGTGGCTATTAAAATTTAAGTCTGAGTCCAGTATTACCCCTAGATTTCTGACCTTGTTTGAAGGTTTTAGGGAGAGAGACTGTAGATGACAGATGACGCTCTCTCTTTGTTTCTGGGGACCAAAGACAATCATTTCAGTTTTGTCTGAAGGAAAAAATTAATTCATAATAATATCCACCCAATAAAAAACCCACTATTAAAAAAACAAAACAAAAACATAGTTACCATAGTTCCGTCGTACGCTCAGCTAAACTGTTCATAACCTCGATTCCATATTGTCACACTAGAGGTCTGTCTCACATTTTCAGGAAAACCATTCTAGAATTTGCCTGCATGATTCTGAAAGACTGACAGCCTTTGTTTAGTCTGTGTTTATTCTGTAGAGTGAGTGGGTGAGTGAATGAGAGAGATTCAAGATTCAAGAGTTTATTTGTCATTTGCTGCAAAACCACATTGGAAAAACTGCAAGAATACCCCAGTGTGCTCTAGAAGATGGCACACACCAGAGTTCTTGCCACCGCGCCATATTTCCGGCGCCATGCAACAAATACTTAACAGCAGAGAGAAAAACATATATTTATTTCACATAGACATTGTTGAGCCCTGCTCAATGTGGGACTGATTATGGAGAATATTCCAAGTTTGGTAAATTACATTCAATGGGCCTCATTCACGAACGGTTCTTAGGAACAGATTTGTACGTAAATCCTACTTACGCGGTTTTTACGAAGAAAGTGGCATTCACGAATATTTCTCGTAACCAGAATTTCTCTTGGGCAAGTACAAATCCTACGAGTCCTCAGGAGCACTCGTACGCATTCAGTGCCGACATGTTCACACGCCGGGGTTGTCCTCTTTGGTGAAGTTGAATAAAAATACAACATTCCAGTGATATGTCCGTCATATCGATGTATGTATTTATTTATTTGTAGTAATCTTTATTAGTAATCTTTATTTATATACCGCCTTTTTCACGGCAGATCTGGCATACTTTTTAATTCATTTTGAAATGAAATGTGCCAACGCTTTATGAATTGATTTCAAGATGGCGCCTCGTACGGTCGACATGGCTCTTTGCTGCTCTCTTTTTCTTTTGTTTTTACTTTTTAACTGTGCATCTGGCTGTTCCTACACCCGTGAGGAACTTATGAACATCCGACCCACCGTTCCCATGGACCTATTGCCTGTTTTCTTGGCATCTGCGGCTGATTTAGTTCATGTTCTAGCCAAAAAAGTGTGGGCCCGTAAAAGGGGAAAGCGAGGAGGCCTGCTCGTGCGTCTTAGGAGGAGAGGAGCGCGCACGGCTCTCCCCGGCATTTTTCTCTCCAACGTACGCTCACTGGGCAATAAGATGGACGAACTCAGCCTGCTCATGAGAAGAAACAAGGACTTCGCCACATCCTGTGTCCTCTGCTTCACTGAGACCTGGCTAAATGAGCGGATCCCGGACTGCGCTCTGGAGCTGCAGGGCTTTGGGCTGTTTCGCGCGGATCGCCATTGTGCGCTCTCAGGGAAGAGCAGAGGCGGAGGGCTCTGTTTCTACGTCAATACAAACTGGTGTAACGATGTGACAGTGATCTCCAAGCACTGCTCTCCTGCTCTGGAATATCTTTTCATTCATTGTAAACCATATTACTCCCCGCGGGAAATTGTTTCATTCATTCTTGCCTCTGTTTACATACCGCCATGCGCGGACGCGCGCGAGGCTCAGCGCGCACTCGCAGAGCAAGTACTGTGTATGGAACGCTTATACCCGGACTCTCTGATTATTATCCTGGGGGATTTTAATAAGGGAAACTTGAGCCAGGAATTACCCAAATACAGACAGTTTATCAAATGCCCGACCAGAGAGGAGAACACTCTGGATCACTGTTACACCACCGTGCGCGGAGCTTTTCGCGCTGTTCCCAAGCCAGCCCTCGGCTTCTCAGATCACTCCATGATACATCTGGTTCCTGCTTACAGACAGAGACTAAAGCTCTCGAAACCTGCAGTGAGGAGCTCCAAAGTGTGGTCTGATGAAGCTGTGGAAGAGCTACGCGCATGCATGGAATCTACAGACTGGGACCTTTTCAGAGCTGCCACAGACAGCTTGGATGAATATACGGACACTGTGACGTCATACATCCACTTCTGTGAGGATAGCATCATTCCAACAAGGACCAGGGTCATCTATAACAACGACAAACCCTGGTTCACTGCTAAACTCCGGCAGCTCAGGAAAGCAAAGGAGTCTGCTTTCAGGGAGGGGGACCGCAGCGGCTACAAAGCAGCTAAATATCAGTTCAGGAAAGAACTGAAAGCAGCCAAGTCCCGGCACAGAGAACGACTACAGGAGCAGTTTGGTAACAACGATACTGCTTCTGTCTGGAGGGGCCTACGGGAGATCACCAACTACAAACCCAAAGCCCCCCCCTGTGCTGATGACCACAAGCTAGCTGACGATCTGAACTTATTTTTCAGTCGCTTTGATGCTGCCCCTGACACCTCTCCCTCCCCCACCCCCCACTACTCTAACGACCCACCCATCAGCCCTGCCCCCAGCCTAACAATAGCCGCTAAAGAGATTAAACAACTCTTCCTGAGGCTGCACCCCCGCAAAGCTCCTGGCCCGGACCACGTGTCTCCGGCCACTCTGAGACACTGCGCCAGTGAGCTTACTCCTGTGTTCACGGACATTTTCAACACCTCTCTGCAGTCCTGCCATGTCCCGGCCTGCTTCAAATCCTCCATCATTGTCCCCGTCCCGAAGAAGCCCAGGATCACAGGACTCAATGACTACAGACCTGTAGCACTTACGTCTGTCGTCATGAAGTCATTTGAACGCCTGGTTCTCTCCCATCTCAAGTCCCTCACCTCCCCCCTCCTGGACCCCCTGCAGTTCGCCTACAGAGCCAACAGATCTGTAGACGACGCCATTAACCTGGCCCTCCACCACATCCTACAGCACCTGGACTCCCCGGGGACCTACGCCAGGGTCCTGTTCGTGGACTTCAGCTCTGCCTTCAACACAATCCTGCCATCCCTGCTCCAGGACAAGCTCTCCCAGCTCAACGTGCCCGATTCCACCTGCAGGTGGATCACTGACTTCCTGACGGACAGGAAGCAGCGAGTGCGTCTGGGGAAGAATGTCTCGGACTCTCGGATTATAAATACAGGAGCCCCACAGGGCTGTGTTCTTTCTCCCCTGCTCTTCTCCCTGTACACCAACCACTGCACCTCCAGCCACGACTCCGTGAAGCTGATCAAGTTCGCGGACGACACCACCCTCATTGGACTCATCTCCAACAACGATGAGTCCGCCTACAGGAGGGAGGTGGACCGGCTGGTGTCCTGGTGCAGTGGTAACAACCTGGAGCTGAACGCCCAGAAGACAGTGGAGATGATTGTGGACTTCAGGAAGAGCACTGTCCCCCCGCCCCCACCCTCCGTGATGGACTCCCCCATCACCTCTGTGGAGTCCTTCCGTTTCCTGGGCACCACCATCACCCAGGACCTCAAGTGGGAGCCGACCATCAGCTCCCTCATCAAGAAGGCCCAGCAGAGGATGTACTTCCTGCGGCAGCTCAGGAAAGCCAAGCTGCCTGCACAGATGTTGGTGCAGTTCTACACGGCCATCATCGAGTCCATCCTCACCTCCTCCATCACCGTGTGGTTCGCTGGAGCCACAGTCAGGGACAAACAGAGACTACAGCGCATTGTGCGCTCTGCAGAGGAAGTGATCGGCCGCAGCCTTCCATCGCTGCAGGACCTGTACGTCGCCCGAGCTCGAGGCCGGGCTGGTCGTATCACAGCCGACCCCTCTCACCCTGCACATGGACTATTCCAACCACTCCCCTCAGGCAGGAGGCTGCGGTCCATCAGGACTAGAACCTCCCGCCACAAGAACAGTTTCTTCCCCTCTGCTGTTGGACTCTTGAACACTTCTTAACCTGTCCCCCCGCCCTTTATAAAGTCACTTTACTGCCCATCATACGTCACTTTACTTCACTGTACTGCTGTCACCTTACATTGTGTGCACCATGTGCACTTGTATATTGTAAATAGTAACTGTAACTCTATTTTAAATTTAAATTTATTCTTTAGAAGTGTTTTTTATTCTTATTTTTATTATCTCTTTTTGACTGTTGCACTGAGCCAAAGCAATTTCCAAGTCTGTGACCTCCCGTTACTTACGTTGGCAATAAAAATGATTCTGATTCTGATTCTGATTCTGAAATACATTGGAAATCTTGCCGTGTATTAGTGACCCCTTCCTATTTATAGGGGGCATTTCTTTATCCACGGGCCACAGAACAACGGCATATATACTGCTGCTGCAGGAGGTTACTGGGTCCGCGCTGAGTCTCTGCGCTGGTCTCTCCTATGGATCTATACGGGTCTGCACTGGTCTCTCCCATGGATCTATACGGGTCTGCACTGGTCTCTCCCATGGATCTATACGGGTCTGCACTGGTCTCTCCCATATACGGGTCTGCACTGGTCTCTCCCATGGATCTATACGGGTCTGCACTGGTCTCTCCCATGGATCTATACGGGTCTGCACTGGTCTCTCCCATGGATCTATACTGGTCTGCACTGGTCTCTCCATACGGGTCCGTGCTGCTTGCTCCTGGATCCATACGGGTCCGCGCTGGTCTCTCAAGTCTGGTCTATGCGGTCTCTCTTCGGTCCGCGCTGGTCTCTGCGCACCGGTCTCTCCAGTCAGGTCACTACAGTCTATGCGGTCTCTCCTGTAGGTCCGCGCTGGTTTCTGTGTGCTGGTCACTCCAGTCTCTCCTCGGGTCTGCATTGGTCTCAGCGCTGGTCCGCGCTGGATCTCCTCCCAGGGTCCAAAATATTTTGAGATTAATCTCAAAACATTTTGAGATTCATCTTTAAAATAATACATAATATATTTTTAAATTAAGCTCATAACATTTTGAGATTAATCTCATCATATTCTTAGATTAATCTCATAATTTTGCTAGTTCGACTTTATTATCATAATATTTCGACTTTTAAGTCAACATTTTATAACTTTATTCTCAGACTGGGTGACTCTTTTGCTCCGTGTAAAGGCCTGTTGCTGTTTCCTCTGCCGTCTGCACACGGCCCTGCATCCCCTTATATGGGCATTAGTGGGCGGTTACTTATGCTAAGTACCTATGCTAATGAAGCACCTGGCACGCGCGCTGTACTTACGAGGAAATGGGATCAATCAATCTGAGAGAACAGCTGCGAACAATTCAGCGGCTTACGAGCGCGTTGATGAATCCCACGTGGGGACTTCTTAGAAATCTACTTAAGGACAACTTGAGAAGAAAGTTGAGTAGTTTCTTACGAAGTTATTCGTGAATGAGGCCCAATGTTGTTTTGGGGGGGAGGAAAACCATCACCCTTGTGAGATGGAAGATATGAATGACAATGGACACGGAGAGTGAGATGTGTAACTTGTCTTCCCTGTATCCATCATGTGTCGTTGCCATCACTAGGCCTGCCTCTAGTCAGTCCTGACGTGTGTCCCACAGTCTCCCAGTCGAGTCGTAGCTTGCTGCCCTGCCCGCCCCAGCCCCCGCAGCCACAGCCGCCCCAGACTGCCCTACTGCCCACCCCTCAGCAGCACCCGCTGGGCAACCACATGCTTGCGCAGGTAAGAGCCTGCTCAATTTGTGTTTGTGCTTCATGAAAGTTGTGAAGTCATTTTAGGTTTGTCTAAAGCTGGGTTTTCTAATGTATTGTACAAAACCCAGTATTATATTTATACTGGGTTCGGAAATCAGACCACAACAACCACACGCTGTCTTTATTTAATTTCACTTTTTAATTTTGCGTTCTTGTAAGAAAGAGCCTTGTGAGTCTCTATTTGAAACTTTGGGATGAGGGTGGTTCTTTCATTTTCACTTTTCTGTCTGAAAAAGGCTTATCTGTGTGACAGAGGCCAAAAAAAACATGAATGTGAAAACTAGTGAGGAACCAAACTGTTTTAAGGGCGAGCAACTACCAGAAGTTAGATTACTTTTTTATTACATATTTGTGGTTTGAAAGTTGGGTACCCCAGCTTTAAACACCCTGGACATGATTTTACTGTTGGAAATTTGTTAATAATAATATTTCTCAAATCAAATTATTGTTGAACCATTGGCCAATGAGGTTCTCGTGGTTTTCTATAAATTATAATAAAATAATTTTGTTTTTTGTTTTTTCCAAAACTCGTAGTAGTATAGTTAAACCATTTGCAGCAGGCAAAATGTATTCCTCTCTTTCTCACACATTACTTAAATCCTAATTATTAATTGTCATGAGTTTATATGCTCATTCTGTTTGACAAGAGTTGTTTGTCCTACTTTCTGTTAGGACAAGCAACTTCAGTACTCCAGCTTGAACTATGGTTTATTCACAAAAACATTTTATTCATCCATTCAATCTGTTTTGCTTTTAAATAATAGATTTCCATCAACCTAACACCCTCAGTCAAGTTTTAATCAATTTCCTGTTTGTCATGTCTTCACCACTGTGCTGCTATCCTCTGCGTAGGCCACTCTGCAACCCTCTCAGCCCGTGTCCTTCTCCAGTCCTTCCTGCCCCCAGGTTCTCCTGCCAGTCTCTCCTCCCCAGCAGTACACAATGGTACTGTGGTCTTACACTTTCATCTTTTCATTTCTTCTCAGCTGCATTTCTTACTTTTAACACCTCAAACTAACAATCTAGAAGAGGCTCTACCTTTGCAATAAATGTGTACAAGCCAAGGATGGGATCAAATATTTTGATGAATATATACAAATCCTGAGATTTTGATCTAGAAATTGGAAGATATTAAATAGAAGTTTGTCTCACCGTATCAGGAAGGCTGTTTCAGAATTCCGCTTTATAAATCTGAATCGTGGAATCCCCCTGTTAGTCTTGACTCTGGCCACCAGCCAGCAGGCCAGTCCCTATGCTCCTCAGAGCTCAAGCAGGCCAGTCCCTGTGCTCCTCAGAGCCCCAGCAGGAGGCCAGTCCCTATGCTCCTCAGAGCTCAAGCAGGCCAGTCCCTGTGCTCCTCAGAGCCCCAGCAGGAGGCCTGTCCCTGTGCTCCTCAGAGCTCAAGCAGGAGGCCAGTCCCTGTGCTCCTCAGAGCTCAAGCAGGCCAGTCCCTGTGCTCCTCAGAGCCCCAGTAGGAGGCCAGTCCCTGTGCTCCTCAGAGCTCAAGCAGGAGGCCAGTCCCTGTGCTCCTCAGAGCTCAAGCAGGAGGCCAGTCCCTGTGCTCCTCAGAGCTCAAGCAGGAGGCCAGTCCCTGTGCTCCTCATAGTCAGAGTTGTTTCATATGGCACAGATGTACTTTGGTGCGAGGCCATGACTCTTCACTTGAACACAAGCAGAGCTGCTTTAAAGTCTATCCTCTGAACCAGAGGACCAGTGCATAGACCTGAGAAATGGACTAATGTGATTGGTCCTGGTCCTTGTCAGGGCTCATACAGCATTTGGAATATACTGCAGCTGTTTCACAGTTTGTTTGAAAAGTCCAGTGAGCAGGCCGTTACAGTAGTCTGACCTGCTGGAGACAGATGCATGGAAGAGTACAAGTCGGGTTTTAGAATTACATTTAATTAAAATTTATTCCAACAATGTTTTAGATGGTAGAAGAATGGTGAAGTTTTTGATATAATATGGCTGTTAAAAAGGTAGGTTTTGCCTTATTACCCCATTATATCCTGACTTTGTTTAGAGGGAGACACTGGAAGATATTCTCTTTGGTCCAAACAGTTAGGAGTAATCTCAGTGCTTTGGCAAATGTGTAACTGCCAGTAAATGGCATTTATGTTTTATGTTTATTTTTGTTGAAGCCAAAAAGATACAATATTATTACACAATATTATTATCCGCATACTTACAGCAAGTTAATCTCACACAAGTTTGTGGCGCAAGATCTTGTCCCAGCCTTGGCACGCACACGAGATGGCACTGGAAAAACCTTTTTTACTTGAAAAGGTCTATTTTGGAACATTATTTAATTTGAATATAAAAAAGTGGCATTCTTGATCCAACTGCAGCCCTACTGCAAGAGGGTGTGTTCATAGATTTACAGTATGAACTTAAAAATAGTTTCTCTCTGCGCAGGGCGATGAGCTGGCGCCTCAGTTCACTCAGATGACGTTGAGTCGACAGGGGTCCAGTGAGAACCCGGAGCCTCCACAGATTTTCCAGGCCCCCTCCACAGTGCTCACCCAGCACCCCCCTCCCCAGACTGGGTACATTATGGCCACAACGGGTCAGCCTTTACCACCTCCATCTGGGTATCAACCTGCCACAGGACACCCCCACCCTCCCCCTCCACCGCCTCCTCCGTCGCAGCCAGTCATTCAAGCTCCGCCCCCTCCACAGAGCTACCTGCCACCCCCCCCGCCTCAGCAGGTAATGCCCTCTCTAGTACTGCAGGTCCAAGTGTACTTTAGTGTTCTCGTAGGGTACATACAAGAAGGTGTTGGGGTTTTTGGAGCCCTGATCATTTTTTGCTTCTTTCCACGCTGCAACATCAATAAGATGTTCAATTCTGACAATAAATCAATCTGATCCAGAGCAGAAGAGCATTAGATCCAATGCTGGTAATGGGAAATAGGAGAATAAACATCTTATTTAATATTAGCACAGATTTTGAAAGCTTCAGCCACAGAAAACCAGCTGTTCTCTAGTTCTTTGTTCCTCTTGTATTTATCTTGTTCCTAGTTTCTTTGAATAAAACAGGATTTCTTTTGACCCGCCCCCGGATCCGCACGGTCCTTTATCATCACAAGGGTCTGCTGCTCTTTGTGGGTGGTCATCGGTGTGAAGCATCTTCAGAAGAGAATATAGAGTTATTCAGATGAAGGCGAAGGCGGGGAATATTGATCTATCCTCTGTTTACCTGTTTGATGTCTGACTTTGAATTGATGTTGCCCGTTAAACCCCTTAGTCTGGTTCCATAATGAAGGACATGGAAATGGAGTCCTTAATTTGTTGTGCTTATACAAGTAGAAACTATTTGATTCCCATTGTGTCATTTCTACTCAACATTCAAATCAACAATTCTGAGATGCCATTCGAGACGACTGCTGTCAAAATTAAATGGAATTGATGTGGTAGTAACGGTGTTGGTAGTAGTAGTAGTGGTGTTAGTGGTAGTAAATAATTTTTCAAACACAAGCAAAAAACAATATAAAAAAATAAATAAAGCAAGATGCACAATAAACAGTGCTTATTTGGCTCCAACACCTCTCCAACCCAGAAATGGATGAAGGGGAAGAAAATAGATGGATGGACCTCTCCATTGGCTAATTTATAATGTATATTGTATATCATAATATAGTTGTCCTCTTTTTTCCCAATGTTTTTATGGTAATGATGGCCATTAGTGTAATAGTAAAAAGTCATCTGAACGTTTTTGTTATGCTAGCTTGGCTTCTGTCAAATAGTGTGTATTCTTCATGTTTGTGGCTTTGTGTTCTCAGATCCAGGTGTCGTATTTCCCCCCGGGGCAGTACCCCAGCTCAGGGCAGCAGTACAGAGTGGCACAGCCCATGACGCACCAGGTGTCCTACCCCGCACAGCGCCCTCAGCCCATGCCTCAGCCCACGCAGCCGTCAGGTAGAAGCAACATTCATATTGTTTCAGCGTGTGGACGTTACATAGGCCTGTGACTATACATGTTTTTGACTGATGTGCTTTATTATTCATTATTATTTATTTACTGTCAAATCCAACGGGTAAGCCAGGCAAGGCAAGGCAAGTTTGTTTGTATAGCACATGTCATACACAAGGCAACTCGAAGTGCTGAACAAAATAAGATAGCATTAAAATCACCACAGTACATTAAAAATAAAATATATAATATATATGTATGCACAGCTAAACAGAGCTGTTTTTAACCTGGTTTTAAACATTGTCAGAGAGGAGGCTTGTCTCACATCTGAGCCAGGGTCATGATCCCACTGTGGTGGAACCGTGGTGGCACCATGCTGCAGTCTGCTTGCCTGAGGGGTCTAGAGGTGCATGAATGAGCGTATGATCAGAACCTCTTCCTGTAGTCAGTCCTGTGAAGCAAAACAATATTTTGTAAAAAAATGAGACATGTGCTACATGAATTAACATTTTGTCTTTATATACATGTTTGAAATAAGTAAAAAACAAAAAACAAACCCCCTCCGAGGAGAAAATGGTTTACAGCTATAGATGGATACATATGTATTTATATTATTAACAGTATCTGAATGACATCCACATGATAAGATTCCTTAGGAGAGACGTGGTGGTAACAGCCTTCTCTAAATCCTTTCACGTGCTGTCTCTTCATGTAAAGCACACGACACTAGATTAATCTGAAGTTTCTTAGAGTTTCTATTCTGAGTTTGCAGAATGCTCAGCTTTGGGAGAAGAGAAACTACATAATATCTCACAGAACCAGAGAAGACGAAAATGTATTATTGATTATGATTATTTCAATATACTTAAGGACTAATCCCAAGCAAATACAATTAAATTAAGCACAATGTTTTCTACTTGTCAGTTGTATTAGTTTTTAGTTTGATTTCTTTCTTGTTTTTAATTTTTAATTTCCTTTGACTTTGACTTCTCCAGGTCTCCAGTCAATGATGCCCAGCCAGCAGCCAAGCTACCAGAGTATTATCGGGGTCCAGCAGCCTCAAAACACAGCCCTGCTAAACTCTCAGCTAAACTCCCAGCGTCCCCCCATGCAGAGTATTATGGTTCAGTATCCACAGATGCCCTCATACACGGTAAATGATGCAGCAGCTCCCTCTAGTGGACTTATATAAGTACTCTCAAAAAGAGGCTTACAGTAAACTATTTAAACCATTCATCTTCACTTTTGTTTTTTGTGACTTAATTTATGTTTAAAAGCTGTGGATGTGGACTATCAACTGTTTATTCTAGCTATTCTAGTTAAGATGCCAAAGTTGTTCAGAGACAATGACATGTGACTGTTCCCCTGGTGCTGTCCCCAGGTCCCTGTGGCGAATGAGAGCCAGCCGGTAGTGCAGCAGCAGTACCAGCAGCAGGTGATGGTGCCTGTCAGCCAGTCTGTCCAAGGCCCACTGCCTGTTTACTACAGTGTTATTACCCCCACGCAACAGAACAGCACAAGGTACGAAAACAATAAACAAGTATGTATGTTGCCATTTCCCACAAATACATATAGTTACTGACTTGGAAAGTAGTTTTGTTAAAGGAGTAATATGTACAAATCTGGCAAGAAGTGGTACTGCAATCACGGTCAATATTCTGTAGTCCTCTGCCACTCTTCCTGACTCAGGTTGCCAGATATGCAGACAAATCATAATAGCTGAATAGACAGAGTTTTGTAAATAACACATTTTTATTCCTGGTTTTGTCATTAATGATTTGAAAATCCTTGACCTTATTTACCAGTGAGATTAGCTTGACGCGGTGAGTTCTGGCAACCCGGATCTCAGACGTTCTGATTGGTAAAACGGAATTTCGAAATTCAAATATCTCAGCTCAACTATCTCAACTACTGTTATCCATTTTCAAGAAGTATTCAAAAGGAGCATGGTTTATTAATGCCTTTTGACAGATTAGGGCCATTTAATGATGACTTGACATGAAAATCTTACATATTGCAACTTGTTGAAGAAACAAGTCAGTGATTACCTTTATTTTATTTTTTTTATGGAATTGAAATACTGTGTGTGTTGAGTTTTACTGAATGTATTTTTTTTCTCATGTTCCAGTCCATCTGTGAGCTACCTGCAGCCCCCGAGCTCAGAACAGTATCAGATCACTCAGTCGCCCTCTCCATGTAATCCTCAACAGTTGCAGCAGCAATATTCAGGTAAGATGACCTTTCATCGCTACAGAACTAACATTTCTGAAGTCTTATGCGTCGAGGTGAAGGCAATTTACAATGTCCTTATTTTTAGGCATACAAATATGTGCTCAAACTCTTCAAACTGTGATATTATTTTCTGTTACAGGAGTTCCACCTCCTGCTTCTGGGGTAATGGTTATGCAGCTCAGTGTCCCAAATGGGCCCCAGCCGTCCCAGAATCCTCCTTTGGTTCAGTGGAATCCCTGTAAATATTACAGCATAGAGCAACGGCCCAACAAGCCAGTAGAGCTTTACAAACCTGACAACACTCCACAGGTAAGCAACTTTATTCATCTCACAAAGGCTCCCACTGAGGATCATGTGTAGTGTGTACATCCTAAAGAGTACGGCTCCATCTTACTACTGTTACAACTCTGAAGAATAAAAACAGTGTTTAGCTTAATCCATGTGAAACATAGTTGAACTCGGCCTTGATCTACTTCGTGTCTGTCCGTGGGAGTGGATCCCTCTCACTGTTTGTTTTTTTACACTGGGTTTTTGAGTTGCTGCTGATGTATGATGCATGCATAAGGACAGGGGAAGATCAGACTTGTTCTAATCTGCAAAACAACAATTCAGGTCCTTCATAACAACCGTTGTTGTGATTCTGGGCTGTAAATACAATGCCAATCTTATAGGTATTCTTTTTCATGGTGTTTTACATACCATGAGTAATCTTAATTGGAATTATTTACACAAATGCAAAGAAAATGGCAGTAGGTGTGATGTGATCTGGACATCCAGTAGTGCCCGATGCACTCCACGAGGCAATATAGAAATAAACCAAATGTTTGTGCTTCTCTGTACTTTTTGTCCCTGTAATTTCACACTACTGCTATAGTTTTAAGTATATAAAATGTCCTGGTTATGGTTGAAAGTAGGCCTCAACCATTTCCCATCCCATGGCCTTTATATTGTACCTGGATCGTGTTCCATAGCGTTAGTTCATATGCTGTATCAGCTGTCGTGTGTATTGTGTAGGTCACTTCACAGCTGACCAGTCCCTTGGCGTCTCCCACACAGTCACCAACCCCGTCTCCATCTGGCAGCGTCTGCGCTGGTCTGGGACCACTCCCTCTTCTCTCCCAGTTTCCCCGTCCTGGTGGATCCACTCAAGGTACTCAAGGATGGATCCTATGAATGATGAGAAAAATGCCCCATACATCAAAAGAGAACCATTTGCTCTTTGGATTTCAGGTGATGGGCGTTACTCCTTGTTGGGACAGCCTCTTCAGTATAGTCTATGTCCTCCTCATCTAATGCATGGCCAGTCGTCGTACAGCTCGCATCAGGTCAGCAGGATATTGTTCATTTATTTGTAATGGAACCCAATTGTCCTTGGGTTCAAGAATACCCTGTAACAGACAGAATTAAAGACTATAAAACATATCATATGTTACAGGGCCAAGGAGTCATGAAACACGGAGCAAGAGGGAAAAAGCAGACTCTTAAATCTGCTTCGACAGACCTTGGCAACGATGTGGGTGAGTCTTTCAAACACCTAGTTGCAAATTGCGTCTTTTGCTTCCAACAAAGACCTTACAGTGGTGCATATTTACAACAATAAGTAAGATTCACTGGAGGAGAATAGACCAATGACGAGGGGTCTCACAGATATCAATCATTTTTGACCAATCATGACGCTGCAGTGGTGAGCGTGGGTCGGAGCATTCACCACGCTCTGAGTGAACAGCCGCTTGAGACGTCACATTTCCAGTGAGCAGGATTGTCTGAGTGTTTGCTTTGTTTGTTTCCCCAGTGTTAAGTCGAGTCTTGGAAGTGACGGACCTGCCAGAGGGTATTTCACGTCCGGAGGCTGAAAAACTCTTTAACCAGCTGTCAATGTGCGGTGCCAAGATCCAGTGGCTAAAGGAGCCTCAGGGGGGTCGAGGGGGGCCTTCAGGAGCTGGACCTGGGGGGATGCAGGTGGATCTGAGCGACCCGGCTCACCTCTACACCGTAGTGGCTGTGTTTCCTAGCACCATGGCCGCCCAGAGTGCTTCCTTCAAACTTAACAACAGTGGAGCCAGTCTGTTCAAACTGCGGGCCGCCAAAAAGAACTATGATCTGCGTGTGCTGGAGAGGGCCAGCTCTCAGTGAGGGGCAGCGGGGCCAGAAAAAGACTCTTACAGTGGTGGGAACGAGAGGAAGACCGGCGTGGACTGCTCTTAAGTGTTCAATCAAAAAACGGAGCGTTAAAAAAAGAAAAAAAAAAACTTGAGTTGATGTGTCAAATGTACAAAAAGGGAAAACGGCGCAAATCATGAGGTGTTTGATCCCAAATATGAATAGTTTGTTTTTAAATCCTCATTTCTTTTGTTGTTTTTCATTTGTTAAATATTTATAGCAGAAGAGCACACAAGACACGTGAGCATGTGTTTCACTGTTTGCCGTGCGGCGTGTGCCTCCATCATCCAGCAACATTGGACGCTCCCCACAGAGACGCCACACGGGCAACAACAGGGTCACGTAGCACATAAGACACTGGACCGTCGACCTCAGCCAGAGCCCCTTCGTCCTTCCCCCTCTCTCTCCCTCCACGACTCGCCAACTTTTTCTGCCTCCCTCAGCTGTCACCCAAAACATTATATTTATAAACTTTCATACGCACAGTTACGCACTCTCTTTCCTCGCTCTCCCCTCTCCTTTTCGGCCATTTCCTACGCTGCTTTTTTCTCCCTTTCTCCTGTATCTTCTTCCTCTGCCCTGTTCTCTCGCTTTCGTTTGCCTTACTGCTGTTGTGGGTCTCTGTATTGCGCTGATATTTTTCATACGTTTTTCTTTTCTCGGGAGGGAGTATTCAATATATTTATATAAGTGGCGTAAGGAGTAAAAAGAAATCTATATATTCAGTGGTTTTAATTTCCTGAGTGAAAAGTTTAGGCCTTCCTTTATCCTTCCTACTTCCTTGTTCATGACTCTCTCCTCTACCTCACTCTATCCCCTCCTGCGACTGCCTGCCCCCGCCCCCATCCCCCTCCCCCACCCCATTGTGTTTGCGTTTTTGTTGACAGCTGTGCAGAACGTATCAGAAAAAGTAGTTAAAGTGCACAATGATTGCATATGTCTACTGTACATTTTATTTAATCTGTTATTTTTTGTTTGTTTTTAAAAATATAAAAGTCGAGAAAAATATATCTAAACATCTTGTGTGTTGTGCGTCATTTCATGATGTTGGGAATGACCGTGAGTTCAATGACTGAGATGAGGAGGATCAAAGCGTTCGCAAAAATGCCTTAGTTGGGGTAAGAAAGCTTTGTAGAAAGTGTTTGTAAGATTCACATCACTTTTTACATAGAGCCCTGGCTTCCCACAAACAATTCCGAATCCAGTCAAAACTGTTTTTTTCTATCTGTATCGGCCCCTGGAAAGGTCTGTTGAACTGAAGAGGCCCTCTCACTAAACGGTTTTTGACACCGCTGATCTCGGGCTTTAGTCGTTCTGTCGAGTATTGGGTCAATGGATTCCGAGTTGACCATTTTGTTGAAGTCAATTCATTCTTTTAAAGTAACAATATGTAAGAAGTCAAGTCATCATTAAATGGCCTTAATCTGTCGAAAGGCATTAATACACCATGCTCTTTTGGAATACTTACTTATTAGTTAATACTAACTAATAACAGTGGTTCAGCCTGGATATTCAGCCCTTAAATCTTGTTATTGTTTTCATTTCAATGTCCCGCCCTCCACCGTTTTACCAATCAGAAAGTCCGTGATCCGGGTTTCCAGAACTCACTGCGTTGAGCTAATCTCACTGGTAAAGTACCATGTGGCAGCGGGACAAAAAAATGTCTCATTATGATTCTCAAATCATTAATAATAAAACAAGGATTTCTATCGATGCCTTTGTAAAAAAATGTTGGTTATAGATTTATTGTTCACAAAATTCTTGTCTATTCAGGTATTATGTTCCCAGCTGGATTCGTTTGGAATATCTGGCAACCTGAGTCAGGGAGAGTGGGATATGGGCAGATTTTTTACATACTGCTCAATTTCACAAAAATGTCTATGTGAAAACTGCAAATGAAAAATGTGCAAAATGATTGAAGATGTATTTGTTGTGAACCAAACTTTTTATCAAGGCAAGGCAAGTTTATTTGTATAGCACAGTTCTACACATTTAAAATTTTTTTTTGATATCCCTAAATTTCAATAGTGTCGTAATTCAATTTTACCTTTTCAAGTTTTTGAACGAAAATTCAGATGTATCTTAGTGATGATATTGAGAGAATATTCTTTCAAATTGACTGCCAAGACATGGTAAAGATTGTAGCTTGAGGAATATAACTATTTGACAAATATTTGACAAATACTATTTAAAAAATAAAGTAAATCTTTGGCAAACGGATCTTTTTTGAAAAAGATCCGTTTGCCAGAGTCAAAGATTTACTTTATTTTTCTGGCTGGAGTTGTTGATTATTAAAGTGCTAATGCTGAGAAGCTTTCTGGAAGTGTTGTGTTTGTGCTTAGTTATCGATATACAACATGTGCCATAGCCCCTCACTCACCTTTGCATTTGGAAGCTTCAGCTGTTGCAGTCACATGGGCCCCACACACACACATGAACATGCGCACACGCCTCTGCCTCAGTCCCGTCATCCACCTGTTGGAGTCCCATTTGAGGAGAGCAGGGTTTAGAGGACTGCTCTGGGACGCTGGCTGTAAAAGGCCTTCACTCTTCACCAGCGGAGAGACGAGCAGCTTTGAGATCACTGAAGACTGAAGTAAGATCTTATTCCACTTTTTCATGTTGTATTGATTCCCTTTATTTCATACAAGAACAGCTTTTAATCAAATTCAATTCAAGATATTTGTTCAGCCCTAAATCACATTACATAACAGCTGAAAAATATTCTAATTGGGCCTATAAAGCAGTATATTTTTATTATTGAAAAGTCAATCAAACTTTATTTATAGAGCCCTTTACAACACACATTCTTTATAATAAAACCACAAACATCTGTTTAAAAATGTATGCAATCAATGGCTCATGGTGCAAACAGCTTATAGAAAAGTAAAAAAATCTAAATGATACAAAACACATATAAAAAACCTTGTCCTAAGGAAGAGACTCCTGCCGTTTATTTACATTCATTGGATTGATTTTATGCTGTTTGTGTTCGGTGGGAAAATGCAGAGCAAGAAAAATGTACAAAGGGAGATGTCCTCAAACAAGATTTAAGGCAAATTCTCACTTGTTGAACATGGTAAAATGATTTATTTTCCTCATTGCAAGTGTGAAATCGGCCTATATTTCAACAGAGATTGTTCCAGAGTGTGATTTACCTCTAAATAGAAAGAAACTTAATGCTGCTTCAAATGGGGAGACGGAAATTTCTATTACACTGAAAAAAATTATAAAAACATGCGGTAATAATTGCTTGAATCGAGTGAATCTTATTTTGAGTAAATTCTGACTGTCTTAAAACAAGATGTTGCTTTATTTTCTCATTCTGAAGAAGACATTTCTTGCATCTTTTTAAAGCAAGAACATTTTCTTTGTCCCATTGGTAAATCTTGTTTTAAGGCAGTCAAAATGTCCTCAAATTTAGATACATTTTTTACTTATTTTTTATCACCTTTTGCAGTGAACTACTATTTTTAAATGTCTGTATACGCCTCTATTCATTTAATCTTTGTATTTATTACTAGAGTGATTTCTCTCTGACTGACATGTTTGCATTGTGCCTCTTTAGCCCCTGCTGTTGGTCCAGTTTCTGACATGGCAAGTTGTGACTCGTAAGTTTTATAAATACATAACTGATATAGTACCATAGACTGTAACTAAAGTACGCAAGACAGAATTTCAGTTTTCAGTCTGGTATAACGTGTCCAACATCATGGAGAATGTTCAAAAGTCTTTGTTTATGTTACTTTCATTATGGAAATAGCTCCGAGAAATAAGGCTCCAAAATCAGTCCTTTACCGGCACATACTCAGTTGAAAGGTGCAGTCTGCAACTTATGGGCTTTTACTGCTTGTTGCCATGGGGACCTTATTGCTTTGCTTGAATGTACGTTTATCATTTATTTATTTTATTTATTTTGAACCCGCTCATACATATTTTTTACATATATCAATATAACAGACAAATAACTTTGACCTGGTTTGAAAAGGGGTCCAACGATGCAAATCCAATCACACATAGACTGTTTTAACAATATCATGCAGTAGAATTCTCAAATATACAGTACAAACAGTAATACAATACTACCACCAAACACAAAACACACACACACACGCACTCTGACAACACACCTCTCTCCCACTACTTTCTCCGTGCTTAAGGCTTCACTCTCTTTCTTCCACATATTTCTTCAATACATAATAAATCAGACAGTTGGACAGAACAGAACTTACAATATCCAGCATTTACCACCTTTGCCTAAAGTGTACTTCTTCAACACTAGACCACTTCCAGAGCCGTCATCTTGACTGCTCCCATTCAAACCATTGGGATTCGAATTCCCCCGAAAATGTATACTTTTTTTTTACCAGTTTTCTTAAAAGTACTTAATTTTAATAAGTGCTATAATTAGTGAATACAACTGGAAATACAGCAATAACCGTTTGTTGAAAAGCTAAATACTAACTGCTGCAAGCAAACAAGTGTGTTGCTATAGTAACTAACATGCTTCTTAATATGTCAAATGTAGAGATTTTAAACCTCTTTATTATGCTATGTCAACCACCGTCCCAGCACGAAGCAGTTTACGGCCATAGACAGATTGACAAATTGACTGCTCCAGGAGTTTCAGTGTCAATTTTGGTTCGACCCCAGTCCTCGTCTTGACCAGGGCTGGGAGATGACTGGTTTTCAGATTCTGAAATATCAGATCTAAAGATGTGAGGTCAACATTTGAGACTGAGGAACTAGAGTGATGTATTTGATTGTTTTGTGTGTTTGAAAGTTTAGTAATAGTCCAACGTGTCTAATTTGCTCTTTTACTCTTGTTGATGGCGACAGGTTGGATGACAAGGAGTCTGTGGATTTTCACGACAACCCTCCTCTCCCAGACAATGTGGTGAAAGAGGAAGACAACACCGTGAGTTTCTTGCTGATAATAAGTGCTAATATTGCTCCGATATTGCTCCATAGCTTCTGTAGCGGCTGCTCCGATCACTGCTGTCAGCTGATGTTTGCATTGAGCTGGTGTGACATGTGGAGTATCCCTGGTGTTAGCAGTTATTGTAGTGTTAATCCTGAGGTCATATGTAATCCTGCTGCAGTCTGTCAGACGCTGTCCACACAAATGTCCAGCACTATATATATGTGCTCTTTCATTCTACATGACCGCTGCTCCAGCCCTGGACACGCCTCTGTTTGTAAGTCAGGTTTTGTGTTGATATTTTCACAGACAGACTTACATTTAAGAATATTCTTTCCAAGAGATACAGACACATTGTTGGACTTTCTAGGTTTTTCAAATCCAATTGGTCATTCTGATACAAAGATTACTTGGATAACAACATTGTGCCATTGGAATTAGAATGATCTCACCAAATATTCTCTAAAAATTGCGTTATTACTCCGCCAAAAAGGGGGTATTGTAATCGTCTCTCTGTGCTTGTGTGTCTGTTTGTCTATAGGCATTGCGCAAAAACTACCAGACGGATTGCGTGTGTAGAAAGGGATGTGATGGTAGGAAGATTGTTGTTTATTTCATGGTTGTCCGTGTTGTTGGTGGAGTATGTGCTCTCCGAGCTCATGATCTTGTTTGTATACAGAACTGTTCGTCCTGTCTCTACCAGTTATCCTCTTTTTCTTTTGATTACACTGCACATGTTTGGTTGCAGACACATGTCTCCATTATTCTTGAATGTTTGGAGTTTTTGGAACAGCCATAACACAGACAGAACCCTATGATTCTAAACTTCAGAAAGGAAAGTGTAGAATATTAAACATTTATCAGTAATGCATCTGTTTTGCATAGCACTTTTTGGACACTCTTCACATGGCATTATTCTTTCTCCATAAAGAGTGGGGATAAGCTACTACTGTAGTCACATCTGCCCAGAGTCAGATTGACAGAAGTGAAGATACCAGTATGTGCCATCGGCCCCTCCAACCACCACCAGTCATGTGTTTTGCCTAAGAGGACACAATGACAGTTTGGCACTTTAAAGCCACAGCTGCCCCACTGTGGCACCTTGTTTTCCCAGAGGTCTCCCATCACAGTACTAACCAGACCCTGCCCTGCTTAGCTTCAGTGGTCTGACAGGATCTGGCTTTCACATGCAGGTGGAAACATGAGAAGTAGCTCTAGATGTGAAAATATTACAAACTGTGCCTCTGACATGATTATAACGTTTTTACTGAAGGTTTCTGCATTTTACATGATTTTCATTTTAAAAAGGATCCATAACTGCACCTGTAAAACTTGACACTAAATGACAAAACAATGAATTCATAATTTCACTGAGCCTCGGGAAACTCCAGGCGCTACAGTGGGGCGACTGCGGCTGTAAAGTGCTAAATTGTTGATGTTCAGCCTAGAATGAGTCTGGTGTGTGCGTGACTGATGGTTGTCGTCGGAGGGGCCGATGACACATACTGGTTTCCTATTTCCGTCAGTGTGTCCCAGGCAGCTGCGGCTACAGAAGTTAATACCATCACTGTGCACAAAGTGAATGAATCTTTGAGTGTCCAAAAAGAGCTACGTTAAAATCAACAAATTATTATTATTATTAGCAGCCACGTTTACACTTTTACTCTTACATGAAACTAAATGTTATGAAACTTTGTGCTGTGGTATCTTTCCTTTCATGTGAGTGGCGTCCCATCTGCAGGTGTATTTTATCTACGATGAGGAGGTGGAGGAGGAGGAGAAGGAGGAGCTGCCCCCTGTGGAACCCCCCAGACCTGTCAACGACAAACCACACAAGTTCAAAGACCACTACTGCAAGAAGCCCAAGTTCTGTGACGTCTGTGCGCGGATGATCGTCCGTAAGAAACGCTTTTATGAAACATTTGTATGAATTTGTGTTGACTTTTTTTCCCATTTATTTTCAGTGAATAATAAGTTTGCATTGCGATGTAAGAACTGCAAAACCAGCATCCATCACCAGTGTCAGTCCTACGTCGAGTTCCAGAAATGTTTCGGGAAAATTGTGAGTTTAATTTGGTTTAATTATTTCAACAAAATGATGGATTGTGTAAAATAAAGCTGCGGTACCTAACTTCCCAACCACAGCAATTGAACCATGTAAGAAAAAACAATGCAACTAGTTCCTCACTCTCTCAAAACATTTTAGTTACAGCTCAAAGGGTCAAATCATTCTCCTTTGCATATTATTACAAGTATGCAATATCGTATTTTCTAATATTAAGATAAACACAGCATGTTTTGTTCTGAATTGTTAAAAAATATATTCTACTTTCAAGACTCTTTCTGCTAAGATTCAATTGATTCTTGTATAGCCCCTAAATTACAGCCATAGTAATCTCAAAAACAAACCACGGGTATCATTTATAACTGAAAAAGTGAGGTGTAAATACTGGATTTTGTTTAATTTTATTTTTTTAAACGTCTTGATTGAATAAAATGTGAAAAAGTGAAAAGCAATAAGAATATAGTTATTTATTTAGATTAGATTTATTTTGGTCTTATTTTGTGCGCTCTTTGCTCCACAGCCCCCAGGCTTCAGAAGGGCCTACAGCTCGCCTCTGTACAGCAGTCTGCAGAACGCCACCGTCTCACAGCTACTGCCCTTCTGTAAGTGCAGTATGTGCCCAAACTTCAGCATTACAGACTGTCGTTCACTGAGAAACTTGACCCGGGATAAAGTCACTGTGGAGAGACACTTGACCCGGGATAAAGTCACTGTGGAGAGACACTTGACCCGGGATAAAGTCACTGTGGAGAGACACTGCCCATCGAATCATGAGTAATATAATCACTATTTCACATTACTTTTGACCAATCTGTGACATTGACGACAGTAGCTCAGTTGGTAGAGCATTGGCATTTGGGCCTGAAGGTCGTGGGTTCGAGCCCACCGTAAGACCTACTTCACGACTCCCACTGATGACTGCTGTCGTTGTGTCCTTGGGCAAGACACTTAACCCCACTTTGCCTGAAGCCCCCGCTGAAAGATCTAGGCTCCTGTGGACTCAGCAGCTGCAGGAGGATCAGTGAGGGGCTGGTGCTATGTGTACTGGGTGCAGCTCTGACTGCCACCCCCCCTGAGCCAGAAATGGATTAAGGGGAAGAAAATGGATGGATGGATGATATTAGATCATTTCCTTTCCTTTTATTACAGTGGCTGAGTGGATAGCACTCTCGCCTCTCAGCAAGAAGGTCCTGGGTCCGGACCAGGGCCTTTCTGAGTGGAGATGCATGTTCTCCCCGTGTCTGCGTAGGTTTACTCCGGGTACTCCGGTTTCCCCTACCACTAAAAACATATCCAATAGGTCTGGCATGTGCCTCCTGTACTGGCGACCCCGCTACCATCTCTGTGTGGAGTGAGAGACAAATGCCCAAAAACAACAATTGTAAACCGCTTTGTGACTCTGGTCTGTGAAAGGCGGTATATAAATAAAGATTACTTACTTACTTACTTACTATTATTATAAAAAAAAAAAAAATCTCTATTAGACGCATCAAGCACCAAAGTGACAAATTGCTCTTTAAAGAAACAATGCAAATCAATATTTACATGAGATTCATACAGTGAGAAAAGTTTTTTGTAGTATTTGGTGTTTATATTTTTGGTGTAGTTATTGTTGTAATGCATTCAAAAACAAAGTGTGCAGTGGATCATTTCCAAAGGCACAAGCAACATCTCAAACACTGACATACTGTAGAGAATAGTCTATAAGTGTTTCATGTTGCATGGTGCTTCTCCAAGAGGTCACTTGGAAGTTTCAAAACATATTTATGGTTTATGAGCGAGTATCAAATGTAGCCTTCAATCAGAGACGGTCATTATGATTTGAGACTGAAGCAAAAATGTAGAACTAATCTAATGAAATGTTGTGTATTTGTTAGACGGGTGGATCTCGGGAATTGATTCACGGAATTTAAATCATGTAATCCACTTTTGTCATTTTGGACGGCTGCATGAACTCAGAACGCTTATGTTTCTACAGTTGCTTTTGTGAATCCTATAGTATACTTTCACTTATACTAATTGCACTTGTAAAAAAATATTTGGGCAAAATTAGCATTATCAGCCTTACACCTTTTTGGACTTTCTTTCTGCTGTAAATGTACTGCTCTGTAACAATGTGTAAAATTGTACAAGTGGCCACAATAAGCTTCATTCATTCATTCATTTTTAAAGCAAAAAGAAAACATAGACTTTGAATTTATTGATCCACAAAGGAAAGTGTGTTGTCACAGCAGCTCGCATAGTTCTTAACAACGAAAATAACATTAAAGCAACAATTGTAAAATTAGAATAATAACAATAAGATAATATCATGAGAATAGAATAATCTGGATTGTTATTTCTTTTCACATCCTTTTCTTTGGTCCAGTTTTGGTTGGTGATGTCAGCCCTCGATCAGTCCACTCCTCAGTCTATCTCACAAGATTTGGATGTGTTAATCTAAAATAAACAGGATTACAGCAAAGCAGAATCTTAGCAGCAGCTGCTAAGATTGGTTCTGATGAGGATGATGATGATGATGATGATGATGATTCTTGGTTATCGTTGAGCAGCGCAGTCCAACCGCACAGACCCGGTGTTCGAGACGCTGCGTATCGGCGTGATCATGGCCAACAAGGAACGGAAGAAAGGCTCCGAAGACAAAAAGAACGTGAGTGCGTTTGCTTCAGAACGTGTGACGGTGACATCATGAGATTTATAGTTCCATTGATTTGTTCAGATGATGATGATGATGATGGAGGACGAGCCCAAAGCCGAAGAGGAGGGTGGAGACGGAGGTCTGTTTGAACAATAAGATTTGGGTTGGAGAATCGAGTGGAATTGTCCGGGAGCAAAATTAAAGGGACGGAGTTTAATTTTTGCTTTAAATACATCTTTTATACAGTATGTGTCCCCAGAAGTTTTATTCCCAAAAAGTTGAATTTTGATCTTAATTTTTTTTATAACTTGAGAGATGGAGGCTTTTTGTAAATTATAGAAAGTATAAGGAAGGCTCAAAGTTTGTGTAGGAAGTAAACGTACTCATCTAATTTGCATATCAGAGGGTTAATTACTAAATGCAATAAACATGATTATTATCCACTCAGAGCAGAATGAGTTTTTACTTTGGGATGGAACAGAATTCACAAAAAAATGCAGCACATATCATAATATTAATAACATTTAAATATTATTGAAATGTATTTAAAAGCAGATACAAAACCAAGTAGTTCATTCATAACACACACATGCACACACACAACCACACATGCGCGCACACAGACCCACGTAACAGAGCGTTTTCTGGTTCTAGCTAAACCCCAGCAGGTGGGTTCCATCAGTAATCTGTCCTTATATGTGTGAATGGCAGGAAGGTTCTGGCAACAAAAGTGTGACTGACTTAATTAGACCAGCAGATTACAAACAGACCCTTTAAACAAACCTTCTAAATGTAAACAATGATTTTAAGACTCATATAAACCATTTTGAGACCTTCTCTTGTGTCAACCCTGAATATGTATTTTAACAATTTTCACTTTTCAAAAATTTTCACGTTTCTATTTTCACAAATGTTTGGTCTCATCGTCATCTGTAACTTTGACCAAAAATCAACTGAAACGTGTTGTTTGTCTTTTGTAGCAAATGTGGAGGGAGACAAGAGAGGGGACAAAGCACCTTCTGATGACAAGGTTTGTTTTTCCTTCATTCTTTCATTTATTAAGCTAAGCAGGTTAGGGCCTGGTTAGTATTGCGATGGGGGACCTCTAGAAACACTAAGTGACTGGCCACAATAATTGTAGAAGAACATATCCATAGATAACATAATACTAAATTAACAGCAAGAAGGTCCTAGGTTGGATTCCACCTCCAGACAGAGCCTTTCTTTGTGGAGTTTGCATGTTCTCTCCGTGTCAGCTCCGGTTTCCGCTACCACTATAAACATGTACAATAGGTCTGGCACTTATGGCGACCCCGCTTTGTTCTCGTAGTGAAGTGAGAAGAAAAACACAGATTCTCAGTCTATTAAATGCTCTATATCAGCCATTCCCAAACTCAGTAACACCGAGGCCCCCTTAAAAATCTGACGGGTCTGCGTGGCCCCCCAAAATAATAACCAAGAAGACAACATTAAGAATAGGCTCTTCTGGTTATTTTATTTTGGGGAAATAGCCTCTGCTACAAACATTGTAATATAAAAATGATTACAGTGGATTATTCAAGTCAAATAATGAACACAAATATTTTAATATTACAAACAAAACATTATAATTTTAACATTAAATAATTATATATTTTTTTAATTTTTTTTTATGACCTCCCGCGGCCCCCCTGCAGTACCCTCGCGGCCCACCAGGGGGCCGCGGACCCCACTTTGGGAGACACTGCTCTATATAGATAAAGAGTACTTACGTTTTCTTTTTTTGTCAGTACCTCAGCCAATATATTCTACATGTACTTGTGTGTATTCCATGCTATTTTCTTTTACATTTTCTTTCGTGCATGGTAAGCACATTGGGCAGCTGGTGTTGTTGTAAATGTTCTATACAAATAAAGCTGGCATTACATTATTCCCATCCAATTTTTGTACATATTTCAGTATTTAAATCATATCATAAATACATCAATTAATCAAGCAAGTGCCACAACCTATATCTGCCATTTTATACCAATAAAATCAACATAAACCTAAAAAACAACAAATATTACAACAACAAAGCATGTAATTCAAAAAATTATAATTAAAAACTAAAAAACAAACACAATAAATATTAAAAACCAAAAACATGAACAGATTTGTGTCTTGTGTCCCTGGGCAAGACACTTAACCCCAATGTGCCTGAAGTCCCCGTGGACCCACCACCTGCAGGAAGATCAGCAAGGGACTGGTGCTATGTGAATTGGGTGGCAGTTCTGATTGCCACCCCCCCTGACCCAGAAATAAAAAATAAAAGGGATGTAAATGAAATTAAATGAACAGAACAGATTTGTATCATTTATTTCCTCTTTCTGCAGAATAAGAAAGTGCAGCCTGGAAAGCTCAGCGTGTTCTCTCAGTCGCACTATTACCTGGCCCTGTATCGTTTCAAAGCCATCGAGAAGGACGACCTGGATGTCCAGTGAGTCGCTGCTGTCATCCCACATTCCATGATCCGTCTGATAAATGCATTTTCTTTTTCTTTGGATCAATGACTGTTTTTGTGAAGGAGTTTTTGCTTTGATTACTCACCGACACATTTTTGTTTTCAGCCCTGGAGACCGCATCACAGTGATAGACGACTCCAACGAAGAGTGGTGGAGGGTGAGACCGATTGTTTTGGTGTTTTTATGAGCACGTGTCATTTTTATTCAACCAAACAGGACAATAGTATGACGTCTACTTAAAGCTGGGGTATCTAACTTTTTCTCCTAGATATATACACATATTTACGACACTATTTTTTGTCCTAACAGAAAGAGCCTTGTGGTTAAATGTTGTGATATGATCAGAAAACGTACCTCCTGTACACTTAGAATAGAGCCCTGGGAGTCGGAATTTGGTGCTTTAGGCTGAGAGCTGATTGGCTGAGAGTGGGTTGTGTTCTCTTTTTTACTTTTCTGTCTAAAAAAAATATGATGGAAAGATGTGACAGAGGCCAAAAATACATGCATGTGAAAAGTCATGACAGACGCAAACAGATCAAAATGCATAAACAACAAAAGGGCAATAAGACACATCAATACTCCATTTTTTAAATTTTATTTTGTAAAATAGGAGCATCAAATTATTGGACTTAAAACCCTTATTAAAAATGGGGTTTAAAAATAGCTAAATAGTACAAAATTTAATCAGCTAAATATATATATTTTCCAACTAGTTTTGAACAAGGTCCGTGGACCGTCTCACAACCTCAGAAAGACCATTTCGCATGACAGCTGCATAAATATAAAATTTTTCATATTTCAGACATATAGTAGTAGGTGAAGTTGATCTAGACAACACAAGTAAGGCAAGCGAAAGGATCTACTAATGCAAATAATAAAGAACTGATTTATTTGGAGAATGTATGAGCTATTAGTATAGATAATTAGATATACAGATTTGTAGATAGATATATAGATTTGTATAGACATGCAAATAAGAAGGGAAAATAGGAGCAATGAGGGTGATGGGTGGATGCAGAAATTTGCCAAAATAGGAGTTTGCACCACACACCACTGTACACACACACACGCATGCACGCACACACACACACACAGACCCACATGCAAATATCCACACTGTTGTCTGTCTTGTTGTATTTGTCCGTATACATCTACACTTGTATTGTATGTCTATATTTTCACAATTAAAAAACAGTATAGATATTTATTTTCCAATGAGAAAGACTATATCTGAAATGTATCCAGCGTAGACACTTGAGCCACTGCTTTCTTTTTTTGTCTCATTCAGGGCAAAAGTAGAGAAAGAACCGGCTTTATCCCAGCCAACTACATCATCCGTGTGCGTGCTGGAGAGAGCGTGTACAAAGTGATGCGTTCCTTTGTGGGCAACAAAGAGATGGGCCAAATCACACTGAAGAGAGACCAGGTACAGACATGACCGATGAAGCTGATAGAGAAGTGCTCATGAGGAAGTTTTGCTCCAACTCGCTTTGGCTCCTATTGTCTTACATCGAAAAGTAAACTCCTCTAGCTTAGAAACAGGTTGAGCTTATCACAAATCTTATAAATGACTTACAGTACTTTCACTAAAACTGGAATTCTATTGGTCTGAATGGGAACAGTCAAAACGGCGGCTCTGGGAGTTGTAGTAGTTCCATATTTGTGGGAGTCCTGGTGTTAATGAGGAACAATGTTGAGGTAACTTTTGCTTCTTCTTCTTTTGTGTGTCTATTGTGTGCAGATCGTGGTAAAGAAGGGCGAGGAGGTGAACGGATACCTTAAAGTCAGTACAGGCCGAAAACTGGGCTTCTTTCCGGCCAATCTGCTGCAAGAAATCTGACAGACTTAGTGAAGACTCTTTTCCAGCAATAACACAATGAACTTTTGTTGTGGTTGGAGTGTTAAAGGAGACGCAGACACGACCAGACTTTGTACAGTATATGCGCAATTCCCCTGTACTTTCTACTTCTCCTGAAAGCTTGTGTTTTAAATGTCCTTTTTCGGAGGCACATATTTTTTATCCGCACCTTTTGTACTTCCCCACACAAATGCTTTTTAACTCAAGTCCTGTATTATGTGTGACCAAAATAAACGGTGTGATTATTTTCTGATGACATTTGAGACTGAATGTAACAGTCCATAAAAGCAAAGGACATTAGCGGTGCTCGGTACGTGACATTTTATCAGGACTCCACTGCCCCAATCCCCTCAGCTTACATGCAGCTTTGATACTTACAATAAACACTTATGCAAGTAAACCACACTGTTGACTTTTATCTATGGAGGTAAAAACATGGGAGTTGGTATAGTCTTTTATGTTGTACTTTGTAGCCGCGGACACACATGACCCATAACCCTAAACACCCAGACAGTTAGAATATGCCTATAATAAAGTGGGTCTGGGCAAAAACTGACTGAATTATCCAGCGGCCAACAACACAGATTCACTGGATTCGGGCTGTTCTGAGCTTTTCAAAAAAGGTATGACATGTCTCTGAGGGTTCACATTTGACGCAGCTGAAGTTGGCTGAATGATGCGAGTTTACTCACCAGCTACATTAGTGCCATACAATGAAAAATAAATATGTGTATCGTCAAAAAACAAAGTCAACGACTGGATTCCACAGGTCCTTTCCTTTACAACAAGGTATAGTGTTTTGGCAGAGCTGAAGTTGGCTGGATGACTATTGCTAGGTTGCAGCTGACGCACAGTAAATCTCCCCATCAAGATTCATGTAAATCTTCCCTGATTCGGAGAAAAAATGGTTATTTACAGATGTGGCAAGTGTCCGTAACAAGTGAAGAACTTATGGAGTCTATTTTGTAAGTAGTAGTAATCTTTATTTATATACCGCCTTTTTACTGCAGATCAGAGTGTCAAAGCGGTTTACAATTGTTAATTTTTTTTATTTTTGGGCATTTGTCTCTCACTCCACACAGAGATGGGAGCGGGGCCAGTACAGGAGGCGCATGCCAGAACTATTGGACATATTTTTAGTGGTAGGGGAAACCGGAGTACCCGGAGGAAACCTACGCAGACACGGGGAGAACATGCAAACTCCACTCAGAAAGGCCCTGGTCCGACCCGGGATTCGAACCCAGGACCTTCTTGCTGAGAGGCGAGAGTGCTATCCACTCAGCCACCGTGCCGAAATATATTTTGCTAAAATATATTTCGCTAACGGGTGTTGATTTTTGGGAAAATGCCTAAAAAGGAACGGAGGAAATGCGTTAGCCAAAAACAGTGCAAAATAGCTGAAGGAGGAGGAAAACTGTTCTCCAGCCGTCAAAACTGTCAGGTACAATAAAAACACTCATATGACCAACATGTAGTATCTAGGGAGACCAAAATAACCTCGCACTTGTTATTTCTCCGTCATTTCGATGTATGTGAAAATGTGTAGTTTAGGTTGAACAAAAATCTGATCCAAATCTAATACTTTAATTACATGAAAAATCTTAACACAATCACAGAAACACACGGGCAGTACATAAGACAAAGTTGTGTCCATTATTACTTCAAGGCAAACATGCTGCCAACCAACTCTTGCTGCTGTTCTGCTCCTGCAGTTGAGCCGAGCTAAATCTGTGTCTTCTGCTAACTTTGTGCTAATCTGAACTAACCAGCTGCTGGGTGCCATTTCAACTATTCCAATCCACAGACACCGCCGGGATCAGCATTTTAAGGATCAAAGTGAACATTGTATTTGAGAATGTTTGTGGGTTTGATTTATACACACATACAGGAGGAGGGAAATACATTCAGGATATTTTTGGACCAAGTATTCTCTTAGTGCTGCGCTTATAAGTCATATTTGTGTCTCTCAATTTAAGTATTAATCCAGAAGTACTTTTAAAAAATTCTAATTAACCCAGGCATGTCCAAACTCAGGCCCGTGGGCCAAATGTGGCCCGCTGTGTTATTTTATGTGGCCCTCTGGTGTGGACTTTTTGTTGGTTTAGTTACTTACTTTTGAATTTGTTTTCTTCCTTGTGGCATTAATTAGGTTATATTTAGCTGTTTTGGGTCCATCCTTGTTTTTACTGTGTCATCCAGCCAACTTCAGCTCCACCGATTAGTCATGCTATACCTCGTTGCAAAGCTCAGAACCTTTAGAACCGCTGTAGTGTGAATCAACATACAAAGCCTGCAGATCAGCACAAAATTAGTCAAAACCGTTTCTTACCAATTAATGTTTTCGGCTCCTGGACAAGTTTTTACTAAAAAGTTTGAACACCTCTGCATGGACCAGATGGCACACAGTCTGTTGGAATCCTTTGCGGAAGCAGCTGCAAAATGCTCCTCAACCCCTTGCTTTTCTGATGCTCAACACACAAAGGTGAATATTTCAAAGGAGTTCAAATACTTGGAAGCATTTGCAGATCTTCAAAAGGATACTGAGCTATTTTGTGCTGCCCTCAGTGAAGTGTAATTAGCGGCGTAGGGGGGTTCACCAGGCAAAGGCCGAGCACAGAATGCGGGGAATGGCATGTGGGGGTCCTGGTGAAGAATGTAACTGGCGACAGCAGACGTGAATAACAGGAATACTGCCACGACTGTGCGCCTTCGCTTCTACCCTGCTCCTCTCCACGCCACATTCTGTCCCATCACCACTTACTCTAGGGAAAGATTGGTCTTTGTGGATCATGTCTGAGAATAGGTTATGAGACATGGGGCAGCTTGCATTTGTACATCAGTAAAAAAAATATCTACCTCATGTGGTTTTATTGATTGTAGCCAGTTGTCTATTTTACATAACACCTAAACACCCACACATACTATACACCAAAGCAATCATCCTTTTTTTTCCCCCCTTAATCCAGGAGGAGGGGGGGGTTCAGTCAGAGCTGAACCCAATTCACATAGCTCCCTTTCTTATAAACATGACTAAAAAAGAATTCTAATAATCTAATTTTAGCAGAATCTCTCCTGATGTTTTGAAATGAGTCAGTGAACAAAACATACATATCATAGGCCTTTTCCCTGAAAACGAAAACAAAAAATTGATCGCCTCTCATTTGTTCCTTGAAAAAATTCCAAGGTTTCCTGAACATTTAGTAAATAAAACAGCTGCTTACTTTCAAACAGACAGACTGGTAATGGCTGTGATGATAATGATCCATCCATCCATTTTCTTCCGCTTTATCCGTTGCCGGGTCGCGGGGGCAGCAGTCTAAGCAGAGACGCCCAGACTTCCCTATCCACACACACTTCCTCCAGCTCGTCCGGGGGGACCCCTAGGCGTTCCCAGGCCAGCTGAGAGACATAGTCCCTCCAGCGTGTCCTAGGTCTTCCGCGGGGCCTCCTCCCGGTGGGACGTGCCCGGAACACCTCCCCAGGGAGGCGTCCAGGAGGCATCCGGAACAGATGCCCGAGCCACCTCAACTGGTTCCTCTCGACGTGGAGAAGCAGCGGCTCTACTCCGAGCTCCTCCCGTGTGACTGAGCTCCTCACCCTATCTCTAAGGGAGCGCCCAGCCACTCTGCGGAGGAAGCTCATTTCGACCGCTTGTATCCGCGATCTCGTTCTTTCGGTCATTACCCAAAGCTCATGACCATAGGTGAGGGAGGGAACGAAGATTGACCGGTAAATCGAGAGCTTTGCCTTTCGGCTCAGCTCCCTCTTTACCACAACGGTCCGATACAGCGACCGCATCACTGCGCACGCTGCACCGATCCGCCTGTCAATCTCACGCTCCATTCTTCCCTCACTCGTGAACAAGACCCCGAGATACTTGAACTCCTCCACTTGAGGAAGGACCTCTCCACCCACCTGAAGAGGGCAGGGCACCTTTTTCCGGTCGAGCACCATGGCCTCAGATTTGGAGGTGCTGATTCTCATCCCAGCCGCTTCACACTCGGCTGCAAACCGTCCCAGTGAATGCTGCAGGTCCTGGTTCGTTGGAGCCAACAGGACAACATCGTCCGCAAACAGCAGAGATGAAATCCTGTGGTCCCCGAACCGGACCCCCTCCGACCCCTGGCTGCGCCTAGATATTCTGTCCATAAATACAGTGAACAGAACCGGTGACAAAGGGCAGCCCTGTCGGAGGCCAACATTCACCGGGAACAGATCTGACTTACTGCCGGCAATGCGAACACAGCTCTGGCTCCGGTCATACAGGGACCGGATGGCCCTCAGCAGAGGACCCCCGACCCCGTACTCCCGGAGAACCCCCCAAAGGACACCCCGGGGAACACAGTCGAACGCCTTCTCCAAATCCACAAAGCACATGTGGACAGGTTGGGCGAACTCCCATGAACCCTCGAGTATCCGATGGAGAGTATAGAGCTGGTCCAGTGTTCCGCGACCGGGACGAAAACCACACTGCTCCTCCTGGATCCGAGATTCGACCATCGGCCGTAGCCTCCTCTCCAGTACCTTGGAGTAGACCTTACCGGGGAGGCTGAGGAGTGTGATCCCACGATAATTGGAAAACACCCTCCGGTCCCCCTTCTTATAGAGAGGGACCACCACCCCGGTCTGCCACTCCATTGGCACCGCCCCCGATCGCCACGCGATGTTGCAGAGACGTGTCAGCCAAGACAGTCCTACAACATCCAGAGACTTTAGATAATCAGGGCGGATCTCATCCACACCCGGAGCCTTGCCACCATGGAGGCTACCAACCACCTTGGTGACCTCAGCCAGGGAGATGGATGTATCCGCCCCAGCATCCTCAGCCTCTGCCTCTGAGACAGAGGACGTGACGGGGGGATTGAGGAGAACCTCAAAGTATTCCTTCCACCGCCCGACAATATCCCCCGTTGAGGTCAGCAGCTCTCCACCCGCACCGTACATGGTGTTGGCAAAGAACTGCTTCCCCCTCCTGAGGCGCC